ATAAAATCAGCATAATTGTTTTTAATCATTGATCCAAGACTACAGGTGATCATTGTTCCTCATCTCAGCCAAAGTAATCTAGTGCAGAAAATGAACTTTCTACTTGCTGAGTTTAACAGTTGCTTTAGAATAGCCACAGTGTGCAAGTCATTGTGCCTAGGCACTGGGCAGAGGACTCATTGCATAAGTTTAGATAAGATGCACTTCCTTTCTGTAAAGAGTCCTTCTAGGAGATTGTGTCACCACTTTGTTGCCTCATGCCCTTGCCCTCTTTTAATGCAACCAGAACCCACAAGATGTGGACCCCACCATCCAGTCTTTGTCCTATTGTTATTTCTTATGGTGAGGACCCCTATAAAAGGCAGTGAACCACAAGACTTAAACTCTTGGAGTCGGAAAAGCTGTTACATTTTACAACAAAGTGTAAATGTTTTGTCTTTTTAGGATAGAGATGCCAATTGGGCCAGTGTGATGGCTTAGCAGGTAAAGGCACTTGCCACTAAGGCTTGTAACTTAAAAATATCCCCAGAACCCACAAGGTAAAGAAGAGACCCAGCTGCTTCAAGTTGTCCTCTGACCTTGACATAACATTCCACGTGTACACATGCCTGCTCCCATACACAAAAAATAAATAAGCAATTTATAAATTTTAATGAATTAATATAAAAAGAATATTCCCATTGTTCCATTGAACATTGTATTTGGGTTTACTATCTTTATTCATGTCTCTTATCATCTTTTATTTGCCATGTATCATCTAGTTTGAATTTATAAATGGATTACTCCTTTATCTGATCCACTAAGTTACAGTTTTTTTGTTTTTTGTTTTTTTGGTGTTTTGAGACAGGGTTTCTCTGTATTGTTTTGGAGGCTGTCGGTCTACCCGGCCTGGAACTCACAGAGATCCGCCTGCCTCTGCCTCCCGAGTGCTGGGATAAAGGCGTGTGCCACCACCATCCGGCCATTTTAATATTCTTTTCCTGAAATTTTTCATCTGATCTGACTGAAAAGTTCCTGTAAAACTTAAACAGGATCTTCTTGGACATTTTAATACTTTCCACAAGCTAACTTCCTATAAATGCAGTGAAATCAAGTAGAGCTTGCATTTGACTTTTTTATTAGCTAATTCCTAATTCTTCTAAAAATCAAACTAATACTTTTTATACACAGTAGATGCCATTGATATTTTTTGAAAACAGAAAAAAGCAGAGTGATACAGGGACAGCATACACTAGTTGAGCAAGTTTTGGCCTTATTTATTAACTGTGTTCTTTGTCGCAGATGGAAGTAATTGCAATACTTGAGTTACTGTGAATTTAATTTAGTTCCTTTAACAAAGTACTGTCTAATAATTATTGTTGCTGTATGAGGGCTAGTACATTGGAAGAAATGAACACAAAACACATAGTTGTTGCAAATAATATGACTAGCTTTGCCTGCCTAGTGGCGAGATGTGCCTGATTAGAGGTTTCGCTCCAGTGATTGTCACATGGTCTGAAAAATTGTTCCTATTTAACTTAAGTTCATACTTTTTTTATCTCTTTAGGAGGTTCCCTATGTATCATTTCTGAGAGTTTTGTTTGTTTGTTTGTGGGTTTTTTGTTTGCTTGGTTGGTTGGTTGGATTTTTTGTTTGTTTGTTTGAGACAGGGTTTTTCTATGTAGTTTTGGAACCTGTAGATGAGGCTGGTCTCGAACTCAGAGATCTGCCTACCTGTGCCTCCCAAGCGTGCGCTACCACTTGATAGTTGTTTTAAAGTCTGTTCTTCTCCAACCTTTGAATGCTTTATTGAAACAAAATTTACATGTTCATAGTTTGTTTATTTAAATGTATGATTCTATTCTAGGCTGGAAAGATGGCCTAGCCATTAAGAGCATCTACTGTTTTTGTAGAGGACCCAGATTCAGTGTCCAGTGCCACATAGTGGCTCACAACCATCTATAACACCAGTTCCAGGGGTCTGATGCCTTCTTCTCACTTCTGCAGCAACAAGCACATATGTGGCACATATACATACATGCAAGCAAAACACTCATAGATAAAATAAAATCTAAAATAAAAATTTAAAACAACAAGAAAGTTTTTACTGCTCCCATATTGGGTACACACGCCCCACCTCAGGCAGCTTACATTACATAACTATAGTTCTAGGGCATTCAACACCTCCTGGTTTCAGTGGGCAACTGCACACATGTGACAGATAAACTCACATAGGAACACACATACAATAAGGAAATAGTCAACTATACATTCATTGGATTTTAGTTTGTTCCTAGATTTGGGAACATTATTGCTGTCCTAAGAGGGAACCTCATTCCTCTAGCCTACACTCTCTACTCCTTACACTCCACACTAAGCAGCTGCCAGTCTTCTGTTTCTACTCTCAGTCTTTCATATAAACAGAGTCATACATTATGTGGCCATATGGGACTGGTTCATTTGACTTGATGTTTTCAAGATTCTATGGCTATCTTTTTGAAATACTAAGCTTCTCAGAAGCACGCTGACCTATGGGAGGAATAGATGGAATGACTTTCATTAATAAAGAAAATTGACTTGTGTGCCATGGCTCACTTTCAATCACAAATAATGAGAAATGCTCTCTAAATAGTTACTATAGGTATAGAGTAAAGAATGGCGTTCTGTAGAGAATGCAAAAGGTTAACTCTTTTGATCTCGCTTTGTGTGCATGTAATGTCATATTTTTCCATATACAGGAAATACTGTGAGACTCGGGTTATTGTAATCAAAACTGTTGCAACACTGTCATTTTTATTTTTGTTTCCCTCCTTTGTAACTGGTTTTTCTGTTCTTTGTTCTGCATAACTTAGACATTGTTGACATAATTTCTAGGCTTACACACTACATTTTTAAGTTATTGAGTTTTATGAGATGAAAAATGTTTTATTTCGAACAGCCAACTATTGTGTATGACAGACTGAGTATCCCTAATCTTAAAATCTAAAATGCTCCAAAATCCTCATGTGACTAGTTACACTCACAAAATAGATACTATAAAAAATGGAATACACGGCTTTAATTATATGTATTCAATATATACAAATGCAAATGACTTTGTTTAGACTTGTGTCCTGACCCCAATATTTCACATTACACACCTACACAGAGAGTGGGTGGGGAGATTATTCCAGAATCCTAAAAAAGAAATTCAAAGCTTGATATGATTCTGGTGCCCATCATTTCAGATAAGTATTATTCAACCTGCAACATGAATGAGATTTTGGGATCAGGATATATATAAGTCATATAGAGTTAGTTAGATAATTAGTAAATGTATTGCTGATGGTTCCAGACTACCTCCACTATCAACGTTAAGATCACATTGTAATATCAAATTTTCTGTGCTCTAGTTAGTTATATAATATGTCAGAACTTGGGGCTCGGGAATATATATGATCTTAGCAAAAAGTGTGTTTTTCTGAACTAGAATTAGGATCTGTGATCTGATTCCTGAATGTCTGTGAATACAAAATAATTTAAAAATAGTACTGACCTAGATGATAAGTCTATGTGAAGGGATCAGCTATCAGTGACAGAAAACCTCCTGAAACAAGTTTTTTAAAAGGCTAAAAATTATTTCCTTATGAATGTAAAAGTTGTCACAGGACTAGTATGAAGAATCATGGAGCAAGGGACCATAATACTAAACACCCCCATTTTATCTTGCCATTCCACCTTTAAGTTATGGGTAACCCCATCCCTTCCTATGTTTGTCATGCTATGAATAGAACCTAGAACTTGTGCGTGCTGGGAAAATACTGGACCAGCCCTTCTTGAGTAGCGTGGCATGGTGTCCACACTGCAGAAAGCAAGGTAAAGAAAGGGATGAAAGTAGAAGACAGTGTGTGCTTTGTTAAGCATGATTTCTAGACACTTTCCTGTGATCCATTGCAAGTGTCGTAACTAAGATGTGGACAAGTGCAACTGCAAGGAGCGCTGGGAAGGGTTGTAGCCATTATGCCCACCTAAAAGTCTAGTCATGGGAAGGAAAGGAGGACAGACATTGCAGGTGGCAGGAGAGGGGGCAAACTATCATTCTCTGCCACAATCCTTTTTGGTTAAATTACTTTTAAGCATTTTATTTATATATTTTATGCATATGACTGTTTTGCCTACATATATGTCTTGTGCCACATATGTGCCTGATGCCTGCAGAGGCCAGAACAAGGATATTTGATCTCCTGGAACTAGAGTTAAAGATGCTTGTGAACTGCCTGTGGGTGCTTAGGACTTAAACTTAGGTCTTCTAGAAGGGCAGCCAGTGCCCTTAACTGCTAAGCCATCTCTCCAGCCCCATGCCATTATCTTGGTAATCAAAAGAGAAAACAAAGGACACTCTTCATTATGTCTCTTCCTCTAAAGAAGGGTTCTATGTTTCTAATACCTGATACTATTTTTTCTTTTCTTTTTTTTCTGAGACAGGGTTTCTCCATGTAGCTTTGGAGCCTGTTCTAGAACTCTATTTGTAGACCATGCTGACCTGCCTCTGCCTCCAGAGTGCTGGGGTTAAAGGTGTGTGCTACCACCGCCTGGCCTGATTTTCTAAATAGATTCTTTTCTTAGAGAATAAAGTCTCCAAGCTTAATAGAAATATCTCTTAATATGTCATTACCAGGGCTGGAGAGAGGGCTCAGTGGTTAAAGGTAAGCAGTGCTCTTGCAGAGCATCCAAATTGAGTTCCCAAGATGTCATTTGGCTTACAACTACCTGTAACTCCAACTACAGGGGTATCTGGTCTCCATGGACACCTACCCTTGTGTATTTACAAGTGTGCATGCCCATACACACATGTAATTAAGTAACAAAAATCTTTTTTTGTTGTTGTTGGGTTTTGTTTTTGTTTCCGCCACCCCCCCCAACTAAAATCTTAAAAGGAATGTCATTCTCAGATGTGGTGTCTAGCCCTTTAGTCCCAGTACTTAGGACACTGAGGAAGGAGAATAGCAAGTTTGAGGACTGTTTGGTCTGTATCCCGAGTCAGAGATACTTGACAAGACATGATCTCAAAAATAAAACACAGTGAGAATAAGTAAGTCATCCCTTTTTCTGTAGTTGGACTATTGTAAAGGAATAGTCTGGAGGATACTTGTTGGAATTTATGAGCCAGTCTCATGAGTTGTGTGAACTTTCCATGGAACTCAGTAAGTCCTAAGGAAAATAATCAGTAGGGAATAGACCCAACCAGACAATTACCTTACTGAGGCATTTATCTTTAGGACTTCATCAGTTCTAATCTTGTAGTAGGAGAAACTCAATTTTCTAATATATCCATCTGTAAAAACCAAATCATAGTGCTTTATGTGATGACAGTTATCATACCAATGGTGTAAATATTTTTATTATATAAAGAGAGGAAAGCTTCCAGGACTAATGACATTGGAAGAGTTGACTCTTTAAAAAGCTGTTTAGAAAAGATTGTTCATCATTCTGGAATGATTATCACCTTCTCAGGATGTTTTAAAATCTAAAAACAGAACCAGTGTCAACTCACACGCCTTTAATTCCAGCAGTCAGGAGGCAGAGGCAGGAGGATCTCTCAGTTTGAGGCCAGCTTGGTCTACAGAGTGAGTTCCAGGACAGACTCCAAAGCTGCAGAGAAACCCTGTCTTGAAAAACAAAAACAAAAAGAAAACAAAAAAAGGATAAGAGAACCTAGTGAGCTTCATTCATAGAGGATCTTACCATGTCTCTTAAAGCAGTTTGGATATATATGTACTCAATATGTAATAATTATTATATAAAGGCTAAACTTTCTCTAGGTTCAGAATTTAAATCTGAATTGGAATCATGTAGCTCAGCAACTCTAATGCCACCAGTAAGAAAAAGGAGCCCACATGAAGAGAAAACCTAGAGTGTTCTCTCTCTCTCTCCCTCCCTCCCTCCCTCCCTCCCTCCCTCCCTCCCTCCCTCCCTCCCTCCCCCCCTCTCTCTCTCTCTCTCTATTTTTTCAAGACAGGATTTCTCTGTAGCTTTGGAGCCTGTCCTGGAACTCACTCTGTAGACCAGGCTGGCCTCAAACTCAGAGATCTGCCTGTCTCTGCCTCCTGAGTAAGAGGATTAAAGGTGTGTGCCACCACTGCCTGGCTGCCCAGTGCCATTTAATATCTTTGTATACTTGACTTTAGTTATTAATAAAATTATTAATTTACTTGTCTAGAGGCTGAACAAATTCAAGTCCTTTAATTTAAAAGCAAATTAAATCTTTCATGACTCCTCCATTAAACAAAGTTGTATTGATTTCTGTCTGGTGACCTGTGCTTTTCTAGGAACTTATGACTAATAGTTGGCTTGTTTGGTTTTATTGACAGGTGTTTTAAGTGCAACTGACCTATTCGGGTTATCACAGTCAGTTCTCTCTACTTAGAGAAAGGCTCTCTGGGACCTGTGAGATGACTTGGAGAGTAAAAGTTCTTTCTGTGTAAGCCTGGACACCCGACTTAATCCCTGGAGCCCATGTAAATGTGGAAGGAGAGAACTAACTCCAGAGTTGTCCTCTGACCTCCATGTGCACATTGTGACACACATACATGCGTCATTCCTTCCAGTGCATGCAACAACAATTTTAAAAATTAAAGAAAGGGCTCTTTTTCTGTCTTTAGAGCCACTCTGGCTCTTATTTCACAATGTTTTCCTAGTTGTCACATAGGTCCTGTAATTCCCAGGGCTAGTAGTGTTCAGTGTCCAGTGATGTTTCCTGAAATGCCATAATGTTTTCAGAATAAAATGAACCTTGATTAATTTTCATTTAGAAGACAGTTCTTTGTCATATATTGGAAGAGACTAAATACAAGGTGAGAGCCTGGATTAGATCCAAAAACGGGAAACCAGTAATGGGAGAACCAGTCAAGTTTGAATGAGGTCTATAGTTTATTTTAATAGGAGTATACCAGTCTTGTTTTTCTTTCCTAAAGAAAGATGTTATTTAATATTAGGTGATGCTAAGTGAAGAATATGGGAACTCTGCAGCTTTCCCATAAATATGAAATTATTGGGAAACATTTTTATTTGTGTTTTTCCTTAGAGTCGGGATCTCCAAATAACCCTGGCTGTCTTGGAGCTTATAATGTTGACTAGGCTAGCTTCCAACTCAAGAGATGCACCTGCCTCTTCCTCCTGGGTGCTAGAATTAAAGGTGTGCACCATCATGCCTGGCCCTAGAGAAGTTTTAGATATATACCTCACTCAGAATTATTTGAAACTTGTGATATGGGCTCTTCTTGAGGCTCTATCAGTACAGTGGGAATGCTGTAGGGTGTATCAGCCAGCTGACTGCTAAGAACCAGTCACAGGCTGCTTTGCTTGTGCCTCTGCTCAGCACTGCCTGTTTCCGCGTGCTTACAAAGTCCACAGGGCAGTCCCTCTTGGGGAAAGTTTAGGTCCAGGTTTGGGATTCACTAAATGGCTTCAGTTTGGGCAGCCAGTTTTATTGTTTGGAGTCTGTTAGTTTTTTGGGGTTTTTAATCTATATATTGCAAAGTATAGTATTTTACATGTATAAGTTTTAGCCATAAACTGTAAGGCACTATAGAGAATGCTTGCTCTGATTACTGTCTTAAAGAATTGGTATAGAAAAAAAGATTTGACATTTTTGGGGGGTTTTGATTTTTGGTTGGTTGTTTGTTTTTGGTTTTTTTTGAGATAGGGCTTCTCTGTGTAGCCCTAACTGTCCTGGAACTCACTCTGTAGACCAGGCTGACCTCAAACTCAGAGATATACCTGCCTCTACATCCTGAGTGCCACCTCCACTGGTCAAGATTTATCAGTTTTATGTATTATGGGTTAAGTTGGCTCTCTCTCTGGAACCTTTCCTAGATTTATTGTGTAACTGCATTAAGTGCAATCAAAAGCCATAGGTGATATATTTATAACTGTGCTTATGATATTTTTAGTATTATTAGCAGTGTGAACTTGAACCAATAGGATAAAGACTCATGAGGCATTAAGTTCAATATTGTAGTCTACTAATTACAGAGATTTTACTTACACTTTATTTTAACCTATTCAAACTAGTATCTAGAGCTTTGACAATAATGGCACTAGAAAGAGAATTTCAGCTATGAAAACCTGAGATATGAAATATAAAGCCCAAGATACCAGTGGAATCCATAAAGTCTGTGACCAAGAAACTCTCAAATGGTTACATTACATTGTGCCAGAGGGTGCTGGGCAGACTGCTAGGGGAGGAAATGCATCAGTGGTCTCACCTATCACTGAACCTTGCATACTACAATACTGATTTGCCTGGCAAGATGTGCCTGCTAGTGCAGTAGGAGCATAATGGTTATGAGGATAACAATAACCAACAGCTTTCTAATTGGTTATGAGGCCTGCTCCCCAGGAGGTATTTCATGCTTGGTACTGTAAACCTGGTCAAAAGTCCATACCTGTGTGCTAGCTAGCTTTTGTGTCAACTTGACACAGGCTAGACTCATTTGGGAAGAGGGAACATCAATGGAGAAATTGCCCCTACCAAATTAGCCACTGGGCAAGCCTTTGAAGCATTTTTTTTGATTAATGATTGGGTGTGGATGGGCCCAGTCTGAAAGAGGAGGCACCAACCCTGAGCAGGTGGTCCTGGCTGTTGGAAGTAAGTGGGCTGAGACCTCCACAAGGAGCAAGCCGATAAGCAGTGCTTTTCCATGGCCTCTGCTTCAATTCCTGCCTCCAGGTTCTTGCCCTGCTTGAATTCTTGCCCTGACATCCTTCAGTAGTGGAGTGTTACCTTGAAGTGTAAGATGAAATAAATCATTTTCTTTCCAAGTTGCTTTTGGTCATGGTGTTTTATCTCAGCAATAGAAAAATATAAGACAAATAGTGAGAAAATAAGTCTAGGGGTGTTAAGTGAAGCTTTCCTTGAGAGGAGCCTTCCCGCCCGCCTGGTTCCAGATCCGCATCAGTCCCAAATAAACACACAAGATGCTGTATTAATTATGAAGCTGTTGGCCTTGCTTGTTTCTTACTGGCTAGCTCTGACTTAAGTAATTACCCCATAATTGTTAATCTAAGTATGTCTCTTACCGGAGAGGTTTCTGGGCTTCCTACCCCAATGGCGTTACATCTCGACTCTCTGTGTTTCTCCTTCCCAGAATCCTCCTGGACTCCTAGTCCCTCCTATCTAGATTCCCTATTGGCCAGACAGTGCTTTATTGGCATAAGACTTCCCCCAACATAGGGGGAACCTGCAACTTTGTTAAATAGTCATGCTGTTAGATTTCTTCTAAGTACAGCTTTGTGTTGCTTTCAACTTGGGTCAGAGAAGTCTCTTTTTGAAGTGGGTAGTGGTTAATGCAGAAACTCATAACTGTGTAAAGTGCTGAGTGTAAGTAAGCTGAGTGCTCAGCTGTGTATGAATTACACACACACACACACACACACACACACACACACACACACACACACACACACACGCGCGTCACCCCACCGTAGTCCAAGGCTCAGAGAACACTACAGAGGAGGGGAGAGAGAGAAAGAATGAGAACCAGGGGATGGGGAAGAGAACTGTGAAAGACTGGTTTCCAGATAGGACATTACTTCACACACCCACATCAATTAACAGCGACTGTTGGAATCAAGCGGTTTTCAAACAAATATTTAGTATTTCACACTAAATATTTTCTTTAGATGATCTGTCTTTATATTCTAGTAAATATGTAGACTTATATTAAACTAACAAAATGTTTCTTTTGTACTGATAATGTGACACTTACAGATTTTTTTAGTTACATCTATTTTGTGTCCTGCACCTGTGTAGGAACCAGGAGCTGATGAACCATCAATGCAGACTCAGATCCAACTCTATAGGAAGGCGTGTGTTGGCCCCATTGAATTTGAGAGCTGTTAAAAGGTGGACATTTGCCAGGCAGTGGTGGTGCGCACCTATAATCCCAGTCCTTGGGAGGGAGAGGCAGGCAATCTCTGTAAGTTCTAGGCCAGCCTGGTCTACAGAGTGAGTTTCAGGCTCCAAAGCTACACAGAGAAACTGCCTTGAACCCAACCCCATCCCCCCAAAAGGTCGACATTCATAGATAAATAAGAGTAAAGTTATTATTGACTGTTATTTTGATTTCTTTTGTTGTGAGGAAGATGTACTATTTTCTTGGGAACAAAATAGCTTTTTCTAAAAATAAGCAATACTATGCTTAGAGTTTACTGCAGATTGAGAAGGGAGCTACTCTTTTCCGCCTATTTCTTTTCAGTGCCTTTGTGTAACTGACTATGAAACTACTTTACAGTTTGTGTTTTGTACTGTCTAAGCATCACAGGATGGTGGTGATTATTGTTTTAACAATCTAAGAATTCTGTGCTTAGATTAGATATGGTGGTGCATGCATTTGATCCAAGAACTCAGTAAACAGAGGGAAGCAGATCTCTGTGAGTCTGTATCTAAGTTCAGACCAGCCAGGTCTACATAGGGAGAAACTGTCTCAAGATGGATGGATGGATGGATGGATGGATGGATGGATGGATGGATGGATGGATGGATGGATGGATGGAATTTTAAAACTTCTGCACTTAGAGCCATGCATAGAAGTGCACATCTCAGCTTTTGGGAAGAGGTAGGAAACTAATGAGTGGTTTTTTTTTTTTTTTTTTTTTTTTTTTGGTTTTACGAGACAGGGTTTCTCTGTTTTGGAGGCTGTCAGTCGAGCTTGGCCTCGAACTCACAGAGATCCGCCTGCCCTTGCCTCCCGAGTGCTGGGATTAAAGGCATGCGCCACCAACGCTCGGCAACTTATGAGTTTTAAGACTGAGGTTTATATAAGGACATCCTGTCTCAAAACAAACAAACAAACAAAAAATCTAAGCAAACAGAAAAGAACTTTCACCAAGCTGGTTGTAAGACCATGAATCAAATAGAATCCAATAATTAAAGGCTGACAAATAGATTCTTTGTAGTATAGCTTATGCACTGTGTGCCTGAGACAGACCAGAAGAGAATAGAGGATGACTAATTTGAATCCATCATCACCACAGTGAAAACTCTTAAAAGTCTGATGAAATTCTTAAGTTTTTTGTTTGTTTTTGTTTTTTGAGACATGGTTTCTCTGTAGCTTTGGAGGCTGTCCTGGAAATAGCTCTTGTAGACCAAGCTGGTCTCAAACTCACAGAGATCTGCCTGCCTCTGCCTCCCAAGTGCTGGGATTAAAGGCATGCACCACCACCACCCGGCCAGAAATTCTTAAAAGTTTTAATGGAGACTTCATCATGTAAAAAGATGGGGGCGAGTCTTTATAAAACTGACATAGGATAACTGACACTTCAGCTGGGCTGTGGTGACATACACATGGTGGATCTGAGTTCAAGGCTAGACTGGTCTGCAGACCACGTTCCAGGACAGCCAGAGCTATATAGAGAAACCCTATGTTGAAAAACAACAACAGCAAAAGAATAACTGACACTTGGAATAGGGCAGAGTAAAAAGACCCATCAGAATAGCAAACACTCATGCTCCAGTTACGGCACACAAATTAAAGGCAGCAGCTCAGGCTTGATTTCTTGGCAATACCAGCCAAGCGGAGAGTTGAATACATACCCGGAGGGATCAGTGGCCAAACAGCAAGGGGATCAGCTGATATCACCATTTACAGAGCAGGGGAGGATAAAGACTATTAGAGGAACCGTTTCGATTTTTTAAAAAATGATTTCTTTTTTATTTTATGTGCATTGGTGTTTTGCCGGCATATATGTCTGTGTGAGGGTGTCAGATCTCATGGAATGGAAGTTATAGACAATTTCAAGTTGTCATTTGGGTGCTGGGAATTGAACCTCAGTCCTCTGGAACAGAGTGGCCAGTGCTCCTAACTACTGAGTTATCTTTCTAACCCTAGATCCCATCCCCCACCTCTCTCTCTCCTTTCTTTTTTCTGTTTCTTTCCTTTTTCCCTTCCTTCTTTCCTTCCTTCCTTCCTTCCTTCCTTCCTTCCTTCCTTCTTACTATAGCCCTGGCTGACCTGCACTCGTAAAGATCCTCTGGTCTCTAACTACTGAGTGTTAGAATTAAAGCCTTTTGTCCCACAGCCGGCTCTGTTTAGCATTTTTATTTCTTAAAAGCAAAGTACAAATAAAGTAATAAAACTTTCATAATGTTCTTTTTTACATTGTTACTGTTATTTTATGTTTACTTATTTGTGTGTATGTGGAGGTCAGAGAACAATTTACAAGAGTCAGTTTTCTCTTTTCCACCATGTGGGTTCCAGAGATGGAGCCCGGACTTGGCAATAAGCAACCGTACCCACTAAGCCACCTTGCTGGCCCCTTATTGCATTCTTTAATGAAAAAAGGTAGAATCAAAATAATGAGGTGGTTTATGAGTGAAATAAAATGGAAAGATCCACATTGAAATAGAGATGGGACAAGTAACTAGGATATAGTATTGCAGTAGTGTAGGTTTTATTCCTCCAATTCTCCACAATGAGGATGGGATGGGAATGCAAGCAGAGGCAAGTTACAGAAGCTGCTGCAGAGAAAAAACTCCTCAGAGTGGAGTCTGTGACAGGGCTGCTTTCTTTTCTTTTCCACATTGGGCACTTGAAGACACAGCACCCAGATAACCATCATTTCTTTGTTGGCTGCTTTTGCACAGCATTCTACCACTGGTCTCACTGGGCTGCCCAGGCTGGCCTGGTCTCACGGCTGGCCTGCCCCAACCCCACTGACGTGCTGGGATTATAGGCCTGCACCACTAAACTGGTAAGTCAGCTTCTTCACCAGAAAGAATAAAAGATAAAAATGACCTCAGACTAACTCGAACGATGTAGAAAAGTTCACCAGAGAAATGTTTTAAAATACCGGGCAAGTGTCTTGCTTCGCTCTTGCACTTAGGAGATAAAACAAAATCTTATTCCCATAGAACCTGATACCTGTTTCCAGCAAGGAAGTAATACAGAGTATTGTAAAAGCCTGGAATGCAAAGGGATATCTTTGAACTCCAAGTGGTAGAGACTAGCGTATCTGGAAAGTATGTGACCCTGGTGCCACCAGGGCCACCAGCTTATGCTCTGGCTCAGTGCCTGCCAGTGCACCACCATCTCTGAAGGGTCTACTTTGCAGATTTTCACTTATTTCCTTAGGGGACTGTCTTGACAGAAACAGAACTATTAGCATATATAATCTAACTATATTTGGTGTTAGAATCAAGGAAAGCATTTCTTCCCTGGTATGGAGGTGCTTTCTGGAGAATGCGGGTTTTTGGCATTCACTGGTGACATGGCAGGAAAACATGTTTAATCATACATATGTAACGTATACTTCATATACAGTGATTCCCAACACTATCTCCTTTCAAGTCTTTTATGTGAGGATGTAAACAAATATTGGTCATTACTGGTATTTTTTTTTTTTTGCTTTAAAGTGTTGCATTTTGAAACTATATTTGTAGCATACCAATTTCAAGATATAAAAGTACATATACATATATATATATATATACATATATATATATCCCTGTTGTCTTAGGACTCTTGTTGCTGTGATAAACACCATGACCAAAAGCAATGTGGGGAAAAAAGTGTTTGTTTCTTCTTACATCTTGTTGTCCATCACCTAGGGAGTCAGGGTAGGAACACAGGAAGGAACATGAGAGGCAGGAGCTGAAGCAGAGCCTGTGGAGGAGTGCTGCTTACTGACTTGCTCTTTGTGGCTTGCTTGGCCTGCTTTCTTACACAACCCAGTACCACTTGCTCAGTGGTGGTGTGGCCCGCCTACAGGCCAGTATTATGGAGGCATTTCTTAATTAAGATGCCCTCTTTCCAGATATGTCTTAAGTTCGTGTCAAGTTGACAAAACCAACCAGCACATGTGTTCCTTAACTTCTCACCAAAGCAGTTGGTGTTATCAGTCCTTTCAGTTTCTTAATATCCTCCAGGTTTTGCTGTCTTCAAGCCAATTCCAGCTGTTCATATCCTGATCCACACGGGCCTGTAATTCCAGTACTGGGCAGCTGAAAGAGCAAGATCTGAAGTTCAAGAACAGCCTAGGCAAGACTATGCCTCAAAAATAGAAATAAAACACAAAGTAAGGTTCTATATTCTCTAGTGAAATATGCCAAGCTTATGTAGCGGTTCATGTGTTTTATTGGCCTCTGTTGTGGTAGAGAGTTGGCAGTAGATGGAATGGGTGTCAAGGCAGACCCAGAGCTGCTGTCTGATTCTGAAAGGCTCAGGTCATTGTAGTAGGGCCAGGTACCGGACTACACAGTGAAGCTGCATTGTGGTCCATCGCCAGGCATCAGCAAGAAAGAATGTTGTCTTCTGGACTTGTTCCTACAGTAGCAACATGAAACAGGGCTCTAGCCCTGGCTACTAAGACCACCTTTGGTTAAGCTAGAACACAAAAGATTGTATCTTCTGCATCACCAAGCATGTGTTCAGAGTCTGGAGCAACTGCTGGCTTACTTGTTAGGAAGATGAACTACAGACCAGCAAGTTAAAAGTATTTTTATTTATTGACATGTCTTTAACTACTTTTAGTGACATAGGTAAAAAGTACACATTAAATCCTGTGTTCATTTGCGTTTATGTTTTACAACTGGTTTCTCTTGAAGCACTCACAGCTCAGAGCTGAGTAAACCTCAAGTGCTTTAAGACTTAATAGATAACAGCAGTAGCTACATCTGTCTTTAACCTTCTGTGGTAGGCTAAGAAAAAACAGTAGCTTTTTTTTGATATTTTATTTTTACGTATTCAGTCTTCTGCCCGCATGCCAGCAGAGGGCACCAGATCTCATTCAAGGTGGTTGTGAGCTACCATGTGGTTGCTGGGAATTGAACTTAGGATCTCTGAAAGAACAGTCAGTGTTCTTAACTGCTGAGCCATCTCTCCAGTCCCCCAGTAGCTTTTTTCTATGTCAAAACAACCAATTTAGAAAATATTACATGTAATTTTAAATATGTATATTTGTGTATGTACACATATACTTGGAAAATTATAAACTTATTTGAATATACTATAAACATCTATCTATCTGGACATGGTGGCAAACACCTTTAATCCGAGCACTTGGGAGGAGAGGTAGGTAGATTTCCATGATACAAGGCCACCCCTGGTCCACATAATGAGTTCTAGGCCAGCCAGGGCTACATAATGAGATCCCATTTTAAAAAATAAAAAAACAAATATATCTAAAATAGAATAAGATAAATGAGAAGAATATAAAGGTGTATTTTAGCTCAACTTGTGCTGCTGTAACAGAATCCCACAGACTGGAGACATTAAAATTAACAAAGGGACTGATAATGGCTACATCTGGTAAAATGCTTCCCACACAAGCATGCCGACCTTAGTTTGGATCCTCAGCACCTACATAGAAGACTGAGTGTATTAGTGCTCACCTGTAATTCATCACTGAGGAGGTAAAGAAAGCAGGTGCTTTCTTGGCTAACTGTGTGGTGGTATGAATGAGAGTGGCTCCCACAGACTCATGTTTGTCCCCAGCTGGTGGAACTGTTAGGGAAGGATTAGAGGTGGAGCCTTATTAAAGGGCCTGTGTCATTAGGGTTAGTTGGTTGGGTTGTGATGAGACTGGGTCTCTGTATGTTGCCTTGACGGTCCTGGAATTCAGAGGCCTACAACATTCCCAGTTAGTTCTGTCTCAGGCTTTCGGTCAGATGTAAGCTCTCAGCTACTTCTCTAGTGCCATTCCTGCCTGCCTGCTGCCACACTCCCTACCTTGATGGTCATGGACTCTAATCCTTTGGAACTGTGAGCCTGCAATGTAAGTGTTTCATAAGTTGCTTTGATCATAATGTCTTGTTACAGCAATAGAAAAGTAACTAAGACACCATCCAGCTAAATTGGTGAGCTCAGGTTCAGTGAGAGATCTTGTCTCAAAAATAAGGTGAAAAGCTAATAAGATGGTTCAACAGGCAAAGGTATGCAAGCTTGGTGGACCTGAGTTCTGTCCTTAAAACTCAGGGGGTGGGAGAACAGACTCCACAGAATTGATCTCACTCTTCCTCCACATACACGTCATGCACACGCAACAATAAAACTTTAAAACTTAAGATTGAGTGCTCACTTTGGCAGCATATGTATTAAAATTGGAGTGATACAGAGAAGATTAGCACGGCCCCTTTGTAAAGATGACATTGAAATTTGTGAAGATTCCATATTTTTGAAGAATAAGTAAAAATTAAGATGAATTGATAGAGGAGACACCAGATGTCATTGATCTCAGGGAGGAAGCCTGTTTCATGAAAAAGATGGAGAACATTTGAGGAACACACAAACACAGGCACTTACAAATGTGTACATATAAATACCACACACACATACACAAAATTAACAGACTAACCCCCATGATATCCATTCATGAGGGAAGAGCCTTGTTGCTGTACAGCTCTCGAAGTCTTCCTATAATATTATTGCAACAGAAATTAAACTGTAACATAAATTTGGAAGGAGACAAGCATGACTTTAGCAAAACCTGTTCTTATGTTCACTATTCATTTGGTGTTCTTTTCAGCCACCTTCCCAAGAGAACATTTAAAAAACCTGAGGACATGTCCAATGGCTCAGAGGTTAAAGAGCACTTACCTCTTCCAGAGGGCCTGGGTTCCGTTCCCAGTACCCACTTCAGGTGGATCTTTTACTCCAGCTCCCGGGAATCCAATGTCTTCTGGTCTCCTCAAGCACCTACACCGATGTGCACTTTTGCACATGCAGACACATACCTATACATAATAAAAATCTTTAAAGTAAACTTAACTGAAAAAGAATAATTTTGAAATATTAAAAAGAAAGCAATACTGCTCTACCTTGTATAAATTACTAATGTGCTTAAATTACATTAAAACAAAGCACTAAATGCTGATAAAGGACATCACAGTATTTTCTTCTTTTTTTTTTTTTGGCTTTTTTTTTGTCTTTTTTTGAGACAGGGTTTCTCTGTGGCTTTGGAGGCTGTCCTGGAACTAGCTCTTGTAGCCCAGGCTGGCCTCGAACTCACAGAGATCCGCCTGCCTCTGCCTCCCGAGTGCTGGGATTAAAGGCGTGCGCCACCAACGCCCGGCTCATCACAGTATTTTCTAATATATATTCATTGGGGATTAAATATTTTAATTTAAGAAACAAAACTATGAAAATGTGAAAAGAGAATATCAGTGAACATTTCTTTAATCAGATATGAGAAAACCAAAAATAGAAAAAAATAAAGAGTGACTGATTATTATTGTCAGAGCAGCCAGACAGGGACCTGAGTAGGCACGCTTATCTCACAGAAATAAAATCTCGGTACTCTTCACTAGATATCTGTCCTTTTTCTTCCTTTTTATTTTAAATTTGAATATAGGCAGAATGATTTATCTCCTTAGGGAAAAATAGCAACACAAATACAGTAGATGACAGGAAGTGGTGAAAATTGTGACTAATGGTAACTTATTGGCATGTGTTCACATTCACAGGCACTCTATAGACTGTAAAAATGCCACCCACCCTATTATGCAACAGTACAGCCTGCAGAATGGCCATGCAGCCCCAAGCTGTGCCTTACTGTGAAAAACACAGCTTAGTTGTAAAGTGATTGCCTAGCATGCTTATGAACTATATATTCTTTAAAGTCAGGTCTTCTTGAGCCAGTTTGGCTATTTATATACCTATAACATCCATTAATCTAAATTAGGAAATTAATACTCAAAGTCTCATTAGTTTTTTTAAAGATCTCAGCATAACATTTTCTTTTTAATATTTTATTTGGTTAGTTGACTCAAACCTGCCTCATTTTTTTCTTTTAGTTCATCTATTTTTTTGGTTTTCCCTTTATTTTTTCTGACTTACATGATTTGTTCTAAAATTGAACTATCTAGTTAATTTTCAGTATTTTCCTGTTCTTTTAAAATTGATAGTATAAATGAAAGGTTATGTTTCCAATTTCTGTCTATTGAAATGAACATTCCATGCTTGAGCAACTGTCTTTGGTAGGATGGAGCATCCTTTGGGTATATATACCCAGAGTGGTATAGCTGGATGTGGTGCTATATTATTTATGATTTATTAAAGCTTACCTGAGGATTCAGAACAGAGTCAGCCACAAGTCATAGAAGCTTTAATCCCAGCAGCCAGAAGCTAGGGGTTGGTGGGATGCACCTTTAATCCTAGTACTCATGATTAAGAGGTAGATGGAGCTCTGCAATTCCAAGGCCACACGCCTTTAATCCCAGCATTAGGGAGGTACATAAGACAGGAGCAAAGTCTCAGTATAGCATTCGTTCTCCAGACATACTGAGGATAGGAAGACATTCAGTCTCAGGATTCTCCCTTCACGTTGAGGAGAGACGGAAGGATCAGCCACTTCAGCCTGAGGTAGTGGTAAGAGCTTAATGGCCTGCTGCTTTGCTTTTCTGATTTTCAGCTTGAAGCTTGAACCCCAGTATCAGTCTCTAGGTCTTTTATATATTGTGTTACAGCTAGATCTGGAGGTAGGTCAATTCTCATCATCTTGAGGAACCACAACACTGAATTCTGTAGTGTCTGTACAAGTTTACAGGCCCACCAGCAGTGAATGAGTGGTCCCCTTCCTCCACATCCTTGCCAGAATGAACTGTCATTTGTTAGCCATTCTGGCAGGTGTAAGATGAAATCTCAAAGTAGTTTTGGTTTGTGTTTTCCTAAGGATGTTGAACATTTCTTTTGTTTCTCGGCCATTTGCGTTTCTTCTTGAGAGTGCTCTATTTGATCTGATCTGGACCCCATTTTTAAATTGAATTGTTAGTTTTTGTTTTTTGGTTTTTTGGGGGTTTTTTTTTTGGTTTTGTTTTTTTTGTTTGTTTGTTTGTTTGGTTTTACAAGACAGGGTTTCTCTGTATTGTTTTGGAGGCTGTTGGTCCAGCCTGGCCTCGAACTCACAGAGATCCTCCTGCCTCTGCCTCCCGAGTGCTGGGATTAAAGGTGTGAGCCACCACCGCCCGGCTGTTAGTTTTCTTGATATCTGGGTTTATTCAACTTCTTTATATATTATATATATATGTATCATTGGTAAAATCTTTTCCCATCTTGTAGACTGCCACCTTGTTCAAATAATAGTGTTCTTTGCTATGCAGGAGCTTTTTAGTTTCATTTATTGTTGATCCTAGTGCCTCTGCTGTTGGTGTTCTGTTTAGAAAGTCTGTACTATGCCAATACATTTAAAGCTATTCCCCATTTTCTCTTCTATCAGGTTCAGTGTATCTGGGGGGTTTTCTTGTTTTGGTTTTGGTTTTTGTGTGGTTTGGGTTTTTGTTTGTTTTTTTGTTTGTTTTTTGAGACAGGGTTTCTCTGTGGCTTTGGAGGCTGTCCTGGAACTAGCTCTTGTATACCAAGCCGGTCTCAAACTCACAGAGATCGGCCTGCCTCTGTCTGTAGAGTGTTGGGATTAAAGGCATGTGCCACCACTGCCCGGCTTCAGTATATCTAGTTTTATGTTGAGGTCTTTGATTTATTTGCAATTAAGTTTTATCCAGGTTGAGAAATAGGGATCTATTTGGATTCTTTCTACATGCAGCCATCCAGTTTGATCAATACCATTTGTTGAAGTTGCTGCCTTTTCCCTGTGTGTATTTCTGGCTTCTTTGCCAAAAAGCAGGTGACCATAGGTATGAGGATTTATGTCAGGGTCTACAATTCCATTGATCAATATGTCTGTTTTTGTACCAATACCATACTCTGTAGTACAGTTTGAGGTAAGGGATGGTGATACCTCCAGCAGTTTGTTTATTATTTAGGATTTCTTTAGCTATCTTTGCTTTTTGGTTTTGTTTTAGGGAGTGTGTGTGTGTGTGTGTGTGCGTGTTTCCATATAAAACTGAAAATTGTTCTGTCAAGACCTGTTAATGGAATTTTTATGGGAATTGCACTGAATCTGTATATTGCTTTTCATAGGATGGTCATTTTTTACTATGGTAATCCTACCAATCCATCTTTTTCAGTTTCTTCAGTGTCTTAGTTTTTATCATACAAGTCTTTCATTTGCTTGGTTAGAGTTACCCCAAGGTATTTTATATTATTTGATGCTGTTGTGAAAGGTTATGTTTCCCTGTGTTCTTTCTCAGTCTGTCATTTGTATATAGGAAAACTGCTGATTGTGAGTTGATTTTTGTCTCCAACTACTTTGCTGAAAGTGTATTATCAGCTGTAGGAGTTTCCAGTGGAATTATTAGGGCCACTAGCATATGTAGTACAAATTCTAACTGTTCAATAAAAACTCAGTCACATATTGGAGTTAATGTTGAAGGTCAGGGAAGCAAAGCGGCCAGCCACTAGAGAGTTCTTACCTCTACCAATGCTCAGACCAAAGGGGCAGTCTAAGTATCCTTCAGTGCAGTCTAAGACTGCACTGCTCCTCACACTGCATCTCTCTTTTGTCTCCTGCCCACTTGTATTTCTGTCTCCATTATCACCCCTGTTTCCACCTCACTAGTGCTGGGATTAAAGGCATGAGATTCCAAGTGCTGGGATCACCTTTGTGTGAGCTCTGTTTCTCCTTTAGACAGATTCAATCTCATGTAGTCCAGGGTGGCCCTCTGCCTCTCTCTCCCAAGTCCTGAGATTAAAGGTGTGTGACACCACTGCCTGGCCTCTATGACTAACTAGTATACCTAGCTTTGCACTCTGATCTTCAGGCAAGCTTTAATTTGTTAGATCATAAACAAAATATCACCACAATCTTATATATCATCTGCAAATAACAATACACTGACTTCTTTCCAATTTGTATTCCCTTGATCTCCTTCAGTTGTCTTATTGCTCTTGCTAAGACTTAAGTACTATGTTGAATACGGAGAGATGGATAACCTTGTCTTGTTCCTGATTTTAGTGAAGTCGCTTTGAGTTACTCTATTAAGATGATGCTAGCTAAGAGCTTGCTGTAAACTGTCTTTATTATGTTGAGGTATGTCCCTTGTATCCCTAATCTTTCCAGGACTTTTATCATGAAAAGGGATGTTGGATTTTGTCAAAGGCCTTTTCTGCTTCTAATGAGATGGTCATATGATTTTTATCTTTCAGTTTGCTTATGGTGGACTACATTTACGTAATTACAAATGTCTAACCACTCCCTCCATCTCTGTGATGAAGCCAACTCGATCATGGAGGATTATGTTTTTGATGTGTTTTTTTGTTTTGTATTTGTTTTGTTTTTCAAGACAGGGTTTCTCTATAGTGCTTTGAATCCTGCCCTGGAACTCACTCTGTAGACCAAGATAGCCTCAAACTCACAGAGATCTGTCTGCCTCTGCCTCCCGAGTGCTGGGATTAAAGGTGTGTGCCACCAACGCTTGGCTTGATGTGTTCTCGTATTCAGTTTGCAAATATTTTACTGATAATTTTTGCATCTATATTCAAAAGGGAAATTGGTCTGTAATTTTGAGTCTTTATGAGGTTTGGGTATCAGGGTAATTGTGGCCTCATAAAATGAATTAGGCAAAGTTCTTTCTGTTTGTATTTTGTGGAATAATTTGAGAAGTATTGGTATTAATTCATTGAAAGTCTGATAGAATTCTGAGCTAAAACCATCTGGTTCTGTTACTTTTGTTTTTTTGTTGGTAGACTTTTTAATAATTGCTTCTAAATAGAGGCAATAAATAGGGGTGCACAATTAAAAATGGGATACAGAACTAAATAGAGAATTCTCAGTGGAGGAGTATAAAATGACTGATAGACACTTAAGAAAGTGCTCAACATCCTTAACCATCAGGGAAATGCAAATCAAAAAAACTCTGAGATATCATCTTACTCCTGTCAGAATGGCTAAAATCAAAAACACCAATGACAGTTTATGCTAGAGAGGATGTGGAGAAAGAGGAACACTCCTCCACTGCTGGTGGGAGTGCCAACTTGTACAGCCACTTTGGAAATCAATATGGAGGTTCCTAAGAAAAATGAGAATCAGTCTACCACAAGATCCAGCAATTCCACTCTTAGGCAAATACCCAAAAGATGCACATTCATACGATAAGGACATCTGTTCAACTATGTTCATAGCAGCATTGTTTGTAATAGCCAGAACCTGGAAGCAACCTAGATGCCCCTCAACTGAAGAGTGGATAGAGAAAATGTGGTATATTTACACAGCGGGAAAAAAAAAACAATGGAAATCTTGAAATTTGCAGGCAATGATGGCACTAGAAGAAGCCATCCTGAATGAGGTAACCCAGTCACAAAAAGACAAACATGGTATGTACTCATATATGGATTTTAGACATGGAGCAGGGGATTGCCAGCCTACAATCCCACCACCAGAGAGTCTGGGAAACAGAGAGGACCCTAAGAGAGATGCACATGGTACCACAGAGAAGGGGAATGGGACAAGATCTCCTGAGTGGATTGGGAGCATGAGAGGAGGAGAGAGGGAGATGGGAGAAAGAGAGGGGGAGAGGAAGCTATGGGAGAGCAGGAAGGTTGAGTCGGGGGAAGAATAGAGGAGAGCAGGATGAGAGTTACCATAATAGAGGGAGCCATTATAGGTTTGAGGAGAGATCTAACAATAGGGAGATTTCCAGAGATCTACAAGGATGACACCAACTGGCAATCTAAGCAATAATGGAGAGGCTGTCTTAAATGTCCTTCCCCAATAATGAGATTGATGACTACCTAGAACCCTCATCCAGTGATGGAAGCAGAGGCAGACACTCACAGTTAAATACTGAACTGAACTCCTGGAACCCAGTTGCAGACAGAGAGGAGTGATGAGCAAAAGGGTCAAGACCGGGCTGGTGAAACCCACAGAGACAGCTGACCTCAACAAGGGGGAGCTCATGGACCCCAGACTGATGGCTGAGAAGCCAGCATGGGACTCATCTAGACCCCCTGAATATGGGGGTCAGTGAGGAGGCCTCGGCAGTAGATCAGTATTTACCCCTGGCATATGAATGGACTTTGGGAGCTCATTCCACATGGAGGGATGCTCTTTCAGCCTGGACACAAGAGGGAGGGCCTAGGCCCTGTGCTGGATGATATGACAGACTTTGGAGATCCCCCAGGGAGGGTGAGACCCAGGGGAGGGAGGGAGGTGGGGTGTTGGGGGAATTGGTTGGAGGCAGGGTAGGAGGGGAGGGAGAGGAAGCTGGAATTGAGATGTGAAGCAAGTAGTTTCTAATTTAAATAAAGGGAAAATGAATAGGGGTTCTTAAATTTCAGTAGGGGGCATATATGCATCAAGAAAATTATCCATTTTTTTTTTTTTTTAGATTTTCTGGTTTGATGGAGTACAGGATTTTAAAGTCTGTCCTCATGATTCTCTGGATTTCCTCATGTCTGTTAATTTGCTTCTTCTCTCTGTCTTTTAGTTAATTTAGCTAAGGGTTTGTCAATTTTATTGATATTTTCAAAGAATCCACTCTTTGCCTCACTTCACCTCACTGATTCTTAGTATTATTTTTGCTATTGTTTTTGTTTCTATTTTATTGATTTCTGCCCTGAGTTTGATATTTCTTGCCATCTATTCCTTTTGGGTGTGAGTTCTTTTAGTTTTGGAGCTTTCAAGTGTGTTCTTACTCATATGAGTGCTTTGAACTTACCTTGTAGAATCACCTTCATTGTGTCCCATAAGTCTGGGTATTTATATATTCATTTTCATCCAATTCTAGAAAGTTTTAAATTTCTTTCTTAATTTATGTCTTGACCCAGTTTTCATTGAGTTGTTCAGTGTCCATGAGTTTGTTTCTGTTGTTGCTGTCATCCAGCTTTGATACACGGCGGCCAGAGAGGATACAGGGATTATTTCAGTTTTCTTATATTTGTTGAGACTTGGCTTTGTGACCAAGTATGTGTTCAATTTTGGAGAAAGCTCCATGAGCTTCTAAGAAGGAAGTATATTTTTTAGTGTTTGGAAGGAGTGTCCTATAAATATCTGCTAGGTTCATTTGGTTTATGACATCATTTAGCTCCAACATTTCTCTGTTTAGTTTTGTCTGTTTATTGGCAAGAGAGGAGTGTTGAAATCACCCACTATCGCTGTATGACAGTCAATATGTGATTTAAGCTGTGGTAGTTTTTAGTGTTTTTTATGAACTTAGGTGCCCTTGTGTTTGGTGCATAGAAGTTAAGAATTGCAATGTCCTCTTGGATTTTTCCTTTGAGTATGTAGTGTCCTTCTCTAGCTCTTCTGATTAGTTTTGTTGTCAGATATTAAAGTGGCTACACCAACTTGCTTCTTAGGTCAATTTGCTTGGAATATTTTTTTTTCATCCCTTTTCCTCTGAGGTGATGTCTATCCTTGATGTTAAAGTGTGTTTCTTGGATGCAGCAGAAGGATGGATCCTGTTTTCTTCTTCTTCTTCTTTTTTTTTTTTTTTTTTTTTTTTTTTTTTGTTTTTCGAGACAGGGTTTCTCTGTGGCTTTGGAGGCTGTCCTGGAACTCGCTTGGTAGTCCAGGCTGGTCTCAAACTCACAGAGATCCACCTGCCTCTGCCTCCCGAGTGCTGGGATTAAAGGCGTGCGCCACCAACGCCCGGCCGGATCCTGTTTTCTATCCAGTCTGTGATTGCCTTTTTTTGTTGGGGAATTGAGATCATTGGTGTTAAGAATTATCAATGAGCAGCATTTGTTGATTCCTGTTATTTTGTAGTGAGTATGTGTATGTCCCCCTCTTTCTGGTCTATAATTATTTATTCCTTGTATTTTCTTGGGTGTGGTTAGCCTCTTTAGATTATAGGGCTGGATAGATATTGTTTACATTTAGTTTTATCTTGGAATATCCTATTTTCCTTATCTATTGTGATTGAAAGTTTGGCTTGGTATAGTAGTTTTGGATGGCAACTGTGGTCTCGGTTTGTAGAACACCTTTTGTTCTACATTAGGCTTTAAAGTCTACACTGAGAGCCGGGCGTTGGTGGCACACGCCTTTAATCCCAGCACTCGGGAGGCAGAGGCAGGCGGATCTCTGTGAGTTCCAGGCCGGGCTGGACCGACAGCCTCCAAAATAATACAGAGAAACCCTGTCTTGTAAAAACAAAAAACAAAAACCAAATAAAGTCTACACTGAGAAGTTAGGAGTTATTGTAATAGGTCTGCCTTTATATGTTCCTTGCAGATTTTAATATTCTTTCTTTGTTCTGTATATTTAGTGTTTTTGATTATTGCATGCCAAGGAGAATTTCTTTTCTTGTCTGGTCTATTTTCTATGCATTTGCCCTGGGTTTCTTCTCCTTTCTCTATTCCTCTTCTTAGATCATTTCATAGTGTCTCAAATTTCCTGGATGTTTTGTGCCAGAATTTTTTAGGCTTAACATTTTCTTTGACCAAGCTACCCATTTCTTCTATCATGTTTTCAATGCCTCTTTCATCTCTTGTATTCTGTTGGTGAGGTTTGTCACTGAGGTTCCTGTTATAGTTCCTACATTTTTCATCTGTGGATTTTCTTTATTGATTCCACTGTCAGGTCTTAATTGTCATTTCCTTCTACTAGTTGTTTGTGTTTTCATAGATTTCTTTAAGAGATTTAGTCATTTCCTCCTATGTTTCAGCCAAGGCAGATGGGTTATTTTTCATATATTACCATTATAAATACTGGTAAGTTATGAGGTGAATACTGCTACATATAGGGGTGCATTATTAAATAACCTGAGAAGTTTTAATACATTTTTGTACCTTGAAGCTTTGGTGTTGATTAATTACTAGCATTATTTTATGATGTGCATTATGAATGAATGTAAACTGAAATGCTTTATGTTTTGAATCTAATAACATTGGTAAATATTTGGTGTGATAATGAAGGAAGGACAAGAATAGTAATACTTTAACTAATTTTAGTTCAGGCCAAGCATTAGAAAACTTGCCTCTATGGTTCTAAGGGAGTGTGAGAGTTTGTTTTGGGATTGTTTGGGGGGGTTGATTTTTTTAAACAGTCTTGGCTATGTAGCTTTGGCTAACCTCAAACTCATAGCAATTCTCCTTCCTCCTCCCAGTGGCTGGGATTACAGACATGTACCACCACGCTTGTCCACACCTAATTCTTTTCCATTCTTTCTTTCCCACAGTTCATCCATGAGCTCAGATTTCCCACATTACAACTTCAGGATGCCTAATATTGGATTCCAGAATCTGCCTCTCAACATATATATTGTGGTTTTTGGCACTGCTGTATTTGTCTTCATCCTTAGTTTGCTCTTCTGTTGCTACTTGATTAGGTAATCTATTTTTATTATTTTCTGATATTTCAGAATATGTTAAACAGTTATTTCTACCATAAGGCCAAAATATGTGTAAGAATGGGCCAATTTTCTAAGGCCATAGTGGCTTAGCATTTTAACTGGCTGTGAGTTGGTTGTTCAGTAACCTACTTTTGTTCAGTCTTTAATCCTACCAGCTGATGAGGTGTTTTACTCTGTAGGAGAAAATGGTCTTCAATAACTCTTCCACAATATTAGTGCCCCATCCAGATACACTTAACATCATCATCTCCAAGACTTAACCTACTTTCTCTTTTTAAGTTTTGTTTTGAGACAGAGCCTCAATCTATGCATCCCTGACTGGCTTGGTACCCATTATGTAGACTTGAACTCTTGCAGATATCCCTGCCTCTGCTCCCAGAGTCCTGATTTAGTCTGTTGGAAGTTGCTCTTGTAGCAGGCATTTGCATCACTGTCATCTGAAGTCATGAGTCAGAAGACAGTATCTTAAGACAAAAGCTATGCCTTAAAAGGCATCTTACAGCTGGTCTTTCAAGACTTTAAATGCCTCTCTGTTGCAAAAGTTGGGTATTCACATAGTTATTTATCTGCATAACACACTAAACATTCCACACTGCAAACATTAACTATTCACAGAGACACGGGACAGAAGAGTTCACCTCACTTGGGATGAGGTGATAGATTTTGTCACTAATGATTCATGCCTGGCTGAGTTGTTATTATCTAAACACTTTTACCTTTTACATTGTTAAATAGAACCTAATTTTCAAAACCAAAACTAACTTTAAAAAGTCTGTATAAGTCAAGTTTAGTAGCAAAGACTTGTGACTTAGTACTTCCAAGGTGAAGCCACATGATCAAGAGTTCAAGGCCAGCTAAGCTGCATGGCAACACCATATATCAAAAAACAACAATGAAAAATGGTACATGAAACCAGGCATGCTGGTGCACACCTTTAATTCCAGCACTCAGGAGGCAGAGGTAGGTAGGAGCATCTCTGTGAATTGAGGCCAGCCTAGTCTACATAGTGAGCTCCAGGATAGCCAGAACTACATAGTGAGACCCTGTCTCAAAAAAATAGTAAAATAATTTGTATTCTTCAAAGAGCTTCTTTTTAGAGTTAAAAAAGGGTAGAGGTATTTGTGGGGTTGGGTTTTGTTTTTATTTTGAGACAGGATCTCATTCTGTCGCTCAGGCTAACCTTAACTTCTGCTCCTCTTGCCTCAGCCTTCTGACTGCAAAATAGTTTTATAGGTAAGAGCCACCTGCCTGTAGTTTCTGATAATCTGGCATGTGATTTTACATTCTTCATGGCAAGTCTTCCCTGGCTGGGCATGATGCTCTTGCCTGTAATTATAGCACTCAGCAGGCTAAGGCCAACTTTAGCTCAATAGTGAGTTCCAGGTGGGATAGAGTAAGACTCTGCCGCAAAAAAATTTACATATACATATACACATATATACATGCATGTATTGAGAGAGAGAGAGCCAGTGCGAGTGCCAGGTAACCCACACAGTCCTAATACTCAGGATGAAGCAAGTCTGTCCTGAGTTCAAAGCCATCCTGAGCTACACAGCAAGACCTTGTCTGAAAGGAGAGGATATAGGGTATGGTAAAACCTGAAGAGAATAGCAAGGGTTTGAAACAACTGATGCATAGAACTTTAGGATTCTAATCATGGATAGGTAAAAACAAAAAGAAATTATAAACCAAGTCCCCCTTCCCCTTCAGTACTAGGCTTATGCATGCTAGACAAGCATTCTATCTCTAAGCTATAGTCTGGTCTGAGCAACAAATAATGATCATATTGAATTTTAGCCATAGAGCATAGGTAAATTTTGGGGTTTTGTTTTTATTTTCAGACATGGTCTTACTTTGCAGCTATGTAGACCAGGCAGGCCTCAAGTTCAGAAATGTGCCTGCCTCTGCCTCCCAAGTGCTGGGATTAAAGCTGAATGCTGTCATAACTGGCAGCCTTCACTCTTATGTGTGAATTCCAATTAAATAAATAAGAATTAGGACCACTAGGCAAGGAAGGCTGATGCTAATGGAAAGACATCATTTTAACCTATCTTCCCAAGATTGTGTCAGAAAGTTACAGTTAGTGACTTTATTATTGGCAATACCTGAACCAACTGATTTTAGTTAAGTGTCAAAAGTTTGAACAGCTGAGAAACTACCATGAAAACGGAGGCTATGGAGACATTAAATGTAAAATGGTATCCCAAGTTAGACTCTTGTTAAGGAAAAGACATGAGTAAAAAACCTCGTGAAATTCAAATGGGGCCTATTGTTGATAGTTGGCTGATATTCTGTCAGTATTATGCCATGTAGTTTTCTAGTTGTATTAACTATACTATAGTTCTATAACTGTATGCATTGGGAAACAAGGAGAAAAATATATGTGAGCTGAGTGTGGTGGTGTAGGGTTATAAGGCAGGGAGTTCTTAAATTCAAAGCCAGTCTGGGCTACATAGTAATACTGTCTCAAATGAAATATATATATGGATTCTATACCTTTTGTATGTTTGCTTTAGAATAAAAGTGTTTTATGTATCTACATGAATTTCTGTGCACCCCATGTGTGCCTGTGGAGACCAGATAGCATTGAAACTGAAATTATCGTCAGTTGTGAGCCATCTGATGAGGGTGTGAGGAATACAACACAGGTTCTCTTCAAGAGCAGTAAGTGCTCTTAGTTGCTCCACCATCTCTCCAGCCCCTGGAATAAAACACTTTAAAATAGCATATATTGGCACAGGGTGTTAGTTTTCTAGGACCCTCTCAGAGCACTATAGTGAGCCCAGACAACAGAAGTGTCCATCTCTTTGGGCATGTCCACTAGAGGCCTCTTCCTAGCCTTTGGTGACAACCAGCAGTCCTTAGTTTTCCTTGGCTTATGGATGCTGTTTAACCTCTGCTCTGCAATCACTTGGTCACTTGGCCTCTTTCCTATCTCTGCCTGTTGACTAAAGATACCAATCACACCAGATCCAGGATTCAGAGTTTTTGAGGGATGCTGTTGGATGCTGTATGAAGGGCAGGAAGATGGAGCACTGGGGTTGGATGCAAAGTTTGTGAGAAAATCACATGTTGCATATGGCATTTGATATCAGACACATAACTGCCTCATTCATGGGGAAAAGAGGATCTTCATAAATGTTTTGAAGCCAGTAAAAACTGGTATAAGGATAAAAAGAATCTAGAACCCTACCTCACAATACATATAAAGTCTAGGCATAGGTAGATCTCAGCCTTAAATGTGGTAGGTAAAATAGTACATGATTTTTTTCAGAATGCAGGACATTGTCTTGAGTAGCCCTCCCAGGCTGGCCCCAAATGTCTATGTATCCAAGAATGACCTTGAACTTTTGATCCTTCTACCACTGTGTTGGGATAATAGGTTTTGTCTTCAAACATTGGCTTCAGGAGAGGTACCTTCTTAATCTTTGACTAGGCAGACATTTCTGTAACAAGATTCAAAAAGAATCTGTTAGGGACTGTAGATTGGAAGAAACCAAGTAACCCATGCAAGAGTCTAAAAGCAGACATAACTAATCTACATTGATCGGCGATAAAAAGACAAATAGGGCCAGGTTCTTTTTTTTCTCTGTTGGTTCGGTTTGTTTTTTCAATGTAGCCCTGGCTGTCCTGTAACTCACTTTGTAGACTTGACCTTGAACTCAGAAAGATCCATCTGCCTCTGCCTCCCGAGTGCTAGAATTAAAGGTGTGCGCCACCACCGCCCAGCAAATAAGACCAGTTTTAAGGATGGACAGTGATTGGGAAGGATCATTTCAGAGGCTTCAGGGGTCCTGGGAATAACCCATATTTTTATGTGGATGGTAATTATTCCAGGAGATGCATATTTTAAATTTCTGAACTGTGTACTTAGTTTTTGCACTTTACCGAATGTGTGTCTTAAGTTTTTAAATTAAGTATGAGACAAATTAAATAAGACTTAACTTAATACACATAATTCTTATCTTCACTAGAACATCTAATATCAAAATCTTAATATCAAACTGTTCATTTGTGTCTTTTAGGCTAAGACATCAAGCACACAAAGAATTTTATGCCTACAAACAGGTGAGAAATATAATTACAATTAGCTTTTATCATACTTTGCAATAAACTTTGAGACTATGATTCCATAGTTTAAACTGGGCTTAGCTTAACATTAGCTCATCTTAGCTTTTCATTTGTCAGTTTGTAGCACAGAATAGATCAATATGATTTTCTCATGTGATCTTCTTTTAGTATTATTTGAAGCTATAGAAATTTTAAAGGATAGAACAAAATGGCAATTTCAGTCAATATTTGCTGAAGAAAAATGCTGTTATCTGTAGCCCTTCAAATTACCACTGACAATAGAGTGCACATTCCACTAAGTGGATCTTCTCCTTCATGAACAATAAAGCAGCTGTGTTCTCCTCCTCAGGTCACCCAGCTGTGTCTCTGTGTTCTCTTACTCCAGCTCACTAGCCTTTCACTCATGTTTTTTATAACCTCAACTTGCCTTTGTTGGTGGTGGCAGGTTTTATTATTTTGAAACAGGATCTTATGTGCCCAAGGCTGACCTGGAACTTATTTTGTAGTCTAGGATAGCCTTGAACTGGAAGCAATCCCTGTCATGCCCTAGCCTTGGTGGCACTGATGTCACATTTTAGAGTTGTGTATTCTTCTATTTGACTAGTGTGGAAGTGTTTGAAATGAACTCATTGAAGTGAACTCATTGTACACCTGTTAATGACTACCCTGTGTTTCTCTCCAGCACTACTGTGTGGGTCTAAGACAGTTGAATGTTGTAGTTTTCTAAATGAGTGAATCCTTTTGTTCTACCATAATCTTGAAAATCTACAAGATGTTTGCATGTAAGTTAACTGTAGAGTAAAACTGGTCTTGGTGGCCATTTAATAGATAAAACTGACTGGGAACTAATCAGGTGAGGTGATAAGTAAACGTGATCCTAAGATGAATAAGCTTTTTAGCATATCATTCTGTGGCTGGCTGGTAACTTGCTTGTGATTTCTGAAAACATGGTTTGCCTTCAAAACCATTTTCCATTTAAATGTCAGCCACCCCAAATTTAGACATTTTTACCAAATTTAACTTGCCTGATTTTCCCATTTAAGATAAACATAAGTAGCCAGGTTTGGCACAGACCTTTAATCCTAGCACTCAGAAGGCAGAGGAAGGTAGATCTCTTTGAGTTTGAAGCCAGTGTAGTCTACATAGTGAATTCCAGGATAGAGCAACACAGAGACCCTGTCTCAACTGCCTCCCCCCTCAACCTCAAGGAAGCAAATAAAAAAATAAATAAAATTTTGAAGAGTTAAAAATTCCTTAATTTTTTATTCTTAGTACCACTACCACAATTTACAGGGCAATAAACCTGGTATAATGAAAAGAAAAAGAAAGACAAAGCTACACCAGATAAAAGACCCCAGGAATGTACACGTCTAATTGACACTACCTCGCATTGATCAACAGCTGCACTTTTTGCAAACTGTGGCTATGACCGTCCTGAACAAGAAGGGTTTCCTGTTTAAGCTGCAGTAGCTTTTCTGACTATGGAACATCCTTCCTCCTGAGGCAGATTTTTACAGTTCCTCTAATGCATTTAGAATGACTGCCTCAAAGTAACCTGCAGCTTTCCTGACAACTCCTCACTCCCTCTCCTGCTAAGAACTGTAGCTCTTTTCTGCTGTATTCTTTTAAAACCTCCTGCTACCATATCCACTACTCTACCACCAGATCCACAGCCACCACCACAGGGACTGCCTGAGCTTTTTCCACCAAAGCCGCCCCTTTCATGGGTCCATAATTTGACTGCTGTTGTCCACTCTAATAACAAAGTCATTATAGTTCCCACCACCACCATAGTTACCTCCACCAAAACTTCCTCCGTCATTGTAACCATCATACCCTCCTCCACCACCATATCCACAACCCTGGTTTCCATATCCTGGCCCACCACCACCATAGCCTCCTCTACCACTGTAACCAGGACACCGCCATAGTTGCCACCATCACCTCCAAATCCATTCTATCTACCATCGCCACCTCCATAACTGCCTCTGCTTCCACCACCTCCACCATAGCCTCCTCTTCCACCCAAGTTTCCACCACAATCAAAATTACCTCCCCCACCCCCAAGTTTCCTCCACGACCCATAAAGTTGCCAGATCTACCTCCATGACCTCTGTGATGCAGCAGACTGCATCTCTTGTTTAGAAAGGGACTTTTTCACTTCACAATTATGCCCTTTAATGGTGTGGTATTTCTGAACAATTTCATCAACAGTGTCATGATCATCAAAAGTTACTAAAGCAAATCCTCTCTTTTTTCCACTCTGCCTGTCTTCCATAACTTGTTTTTTTTAGAATTTGCTTAAACTTTTTTTTATTTAAATTAGAAACAAACTTGCTTCACAATTGCTTCAATCTCAGCTTCCTCTCCTTCCCCTCCTCCCAACCCTTAATCTCCACTCCACTCTCCAGGGAAGGTGAGGCCCTTCCTTCATAGGGGAATCTCCAAAGTCTGTCATATTATCCAGGGCAAGGCCTAGGCCCTCCCTTCCATAACTTCTATGGTTTCATTCTTGCCATAATTTTGAAAGTAGTCTCTCAGATTATGATTATATTCTTCTGTATCTTCTTTAATACCACCAACAAAAATTGTCTTCACTGTTAATTAAATGGGCATCAGGCTTTACAGAATCCTCTCTAGAAACAGCTCTCTTTGGTTCCACCACACACCCGTCAACCTTGTGTGGCCGAGCACACATTGCTGTATCTACCTCTTCAACACAAAAGGAGGTCACAAAATCAAAGCCCCTGGAACGTTTTGTTTGGGTGTCTCTCATTACCACACAGTCTGTAAGTGTGCCCTATCTCCCAAAATGTTCTCTTAAGCTATCATCTGTGTCTTCAAAGCTCAGACCACCAATAAAAAGCTTCCTCAATTGTTCTGGTTCCTTTGGATCATGACCCTCCTACCCCCGGCAGCGGTGATGGCCAGAGTCAGGCTGGGGGCGGCCAGGCCACAGTTTTACCTCCATTTAAAAGATAAACATAAGTTTGGTCTGGGGTTGGGAGACTCAGTGGTTAAGAGGACTTGCTGCTCTTGCAGAGGAATCTCCCAGGTTTGATTCCCAGGACCCATGTGGCTTATAACTGTAACTCCAGTTCCAGGGGATCCGACTGTCTTTTGCCCTGCATAGAAACAGGCACACACATGGTGCACAAATACACATGCAGGCAAAGAACCCATGCTCATAAAATATAATTTTACTTCTGTGGGTGTTTTGCCTGCGTGCTTGTCTGTGCACCATGTGCATGCCTGGTGCCCTCAAGCCAGAAGAGGGTGACAGATCCCCTGAGACAGGAGTTGCAAAAGGTTGGGAACTGCCATGTGGGTGCTGAGAATTGAACCTAGGTCCCCTGGAAGAACAGTCAGTGCTCCTAACCACTCTTCAGTCCAAAAATAATTTTTTAAAGGTAAGTCTATTCTCAGATTTTCCTTTTTTGATGGAATCACATTCACTTCAGCTAATGTTTGTTACCACACACCCAGGACTAATCTAAATGAGATTTTTCTGAGGACGTGAATGAATAATAAACAGGTGTCCTGTGTGAGCAGATTTAATGAAGCTCATGAATGCCAGAATAAAAGAATAACATATTTATTTGGGGATCACTTACATAATAAAGGTAAATAGCTGCCGTGGTCTTTTGTCCTTAGAGGCACAGGATGACAATCAGGTCTCAGACCATAACCTCAAAAGACAGCAAGTGAGACCCCTCTTCTTCCTTATAAGAGATCATGTCACACATCGAAGCCACGCCCTAAGATTCCGAAACTACTGGCAGAAATGAATTCCCACTACACTTCCAAAATTAAAATTGACTTTACATTTTAATCTTTTATGAATTACTCTCATCAACCAATGCCACATAACTGAATTGTGGTTATTGCTTCCACCAATTTCATCACAATCCAGATGAGCATGTGTTAAGATTTGCTCTATCCTCAAGAAGATTCAGAAGTAGAGCTGAAGATGTAGCTCAGTTAGAAGAGGCTTGCCAAGTATGCACAAGGTCCTAAGTCCAATCCTCAGCACCCCCTAAACTGGGCATGAGTATACACCTGTAATCCTAGCCATTCAGGAGGTGGACACAGAAAGAGCAGAGGTTAGAAGTCATTATTAGCTATATAGTAAGCTCAAGACCAGCTTGAACTACATACGAACGTATCTTTAGAAAAATAAAAAGTGCTTTTCAGAATATTTAAAAGAATGTTGTTAATCTCAGCATTCAGGAAGAGGCAGACAGCTCTCCATGAATTTATGACTAGCTTGATCTACATAGTGAATCCCAGGCTAGTCCTGTCTTACAAAAGGTTAGAATATTGTTTCAAAGGAAAATGAACTAGATACATACATGTTTCTTATCCACCTATATAATATACACATATAAAATATGCATATATTTGTCGGCAGAATTGAGAAATTCTTCAATCACTTCCGTGCATGTAGCAGTGGGAATTGAAACCTGAGCCCAGTACATGCTAGGCAAATACTCTGACTACCATGTACATATTCATGTGACTGGTGAGATGGTACAGTGGGTAAAAATGCATGCCTACGTATTTATGTGGGTGTTAGAGCATTTTTTTTATCTTACAGGTTATATTAAAAGAAAAAGTAAAAGAACTGAATTTACATGAGGTAAGTTGCTTTTAAGTATTTTAATCTTTCCATGATTCTCAAAACAAGTGGTATGCTTCAATACCTTCGTTTTCAGCTGAAAAAGATGGGCCCTTCCCTCTCCTGTGTCTTATCACTTACTCTTCTGGTCACTGACAAAATACCTGACAGCACTTAAAGAAAGGGTTTATTGTGGCTCACAGTCTGGGTAACCATTCATCACATCATGGTGAAGACCTGGCAGAAAGCAAGGCATGAGCAGCTCACACTGTGTCCTCCAGTGAGAAGCAGAGAAATAAACACTGATGTTCACAAGGCTTTCCTGCCCCTCCTCGCTCTATATTCAATGTGCATAGTCAGCCTGCACTGAAGGTTTGTCTTCCTCCTCAGTTAGACCTCTCTGAAAACATCTAGTGTGTCCTAGGTGACTTCTAAAAGCCAGTCAGGTTGATAATGAGGCTTAGCCCTTACACAAAGTCTCAAGATTTTTCAGGGATTGTTTTTGAGACAGGTTCTCATTTGTAGCCCAACGTGTCCTTGAATTCACAACAGTCCTCTTGCTTCAGCCTCCCATGGGCTTGTAGGCACAACTAACTCAACATGCCTGTCTTAAGGATTGCATTTAACATTATTCTATATGCTGACTTTAACTACAGATGTACAGAATGTGCAGCCTGATCCCCTCAAGCTGAGTTTCAGGAACCCACACCATGTTTTGTGGTAGACACTGACCCCACTATGACTTAACTTTCAGCTCTGTGCTGTGTGTCTAGAAGACTTCAAGCCTCGAGACGAACTGGGGATCTGTCCATGTAAGCATGCCTTCCACAGAAAGTGAGTACTGGTAATGACAATATTTAATATGATCCAACTTATCTAGGCTATGGGGCATTGCTAGCCAAGCGTGATGGCTTCATAATGGGTCTGTAATGTAAAAACTGACAGCACACCACAGGGTGGGGCACATGCATGTGTACGTGACATTAGGAGGGAACAGGGAAATGGAACATGACCACCACTGCAGGGTTGGGCAGAGATCCAGCCCATCCTGCACTTCTATAAACAGCTCTTTGGCTGGAACTTTCCAACAACTGTTTCCATCTCTTGAAGCTGTATTTTAATCACAACCAGTTACAACAAATAGTGTGGATATATACATGGTGTTGTAGGGCCACCTTCCTTTCTACAGACACATTTCATATCCTCTTCTGGAAATTTTATTTTTCCTGCTTTCCTACATAGGCATACTTTATAGGAAGTCACACATGTGTTAGTTGTGGTACCATTGTTACCTTGTGTGAGATAGAAACCTTTGGCTTGTCAGGTATGTGGACTCTAGGGCTGAGATCCCACCCTAGGCTCCTTGCTTACTGTAAGTCTAGAGCTGATGTCTTCCACCTGGCTGTCTTGTTCTACAGGTGCCTTGTTAAGTGGCTGGAAGTCCGGAAAGTGTGTCCCCTGTGCAATATGCCGGTGCTGCAGCTGGCCCAGTTGCACAGTAAACAGGACCGTGGTCCCCCTCAAGAGCCCCTCCCTGGGGCAGAGAACATTGTATAGCTTGCTGCGAGAATCAGACTTGCTGGATGCATCAGTGTGGAGCCAGGAGGAATACAGCAAACTTTGTTTGGGCTGCTCTCTGCCTGGGGCACCCACTGTCACTTTCTTTGCCTCATGAAGAACTCCTGAGCCAGGCAAGCTGAGACCCTAGGCGTCTGGATCTTGTGACAACCAAAGCCCTCTAACAACACCCTAGGCCAAGAGGAGTGGATGAGCCTGTAGGCTTGCTTCCAGAAATTTCCTAAGCATCTCTTGCTGTCTCCCAGGCACCTCTACATCAACCAGAAGGGAAGATAACACGGGTGTTAGAGAAAGGATCTGAGGCTGGGACTTTAATGCCACACTCACCTGTGGACCTATAAGCTGCTGTGTAGACCTCACCTGCCTCTGTTGCCACAAACCCTCTTGGCATTCTGAGTCGTGAAACCAGCTGTTCTATCAGCTGAAGCACAACTGGCTGCCAGTTCCTTTACTAAGACCTTCTTGGAACCTGAAGACTAATGGAACAGCAGCAACACCACTCGCCACACACACATACACACACACACACACACACCAGTTCACACTTGCTGTCAAATCTTCCAAGTTGAAGCCATTAGAACACTTGGAAAGGCCTGGTCAGGAGCCATCCCTCTTCTGTTTTCCCTCCTAGTCATCAGTAAGACCCAGCAGGAGCTTGACCCTGAACCTCCATGGTCTTGTGTAAGGTATAGCTGCTGGCCTCAGCCCACTAGGCCCCTCAGATGGCTCCAAAGAGGAGCTACTTTCTCAGCAAGGCCGTCCTTACCCACCTGGATGACCAGGACGCTGACACTTTGTTTCTCTCTTCTCCTTTCCCTCCCCTCCTCTCTTCTCCTTTTCAACTTAAGAAAAACTGTCTTACTGTATTTTTAAGTATTTATCCCAAATAAGCTCCCTGTAACTCCGAATCGTGAAGCCAGTGAGCCACTTGGAGTTGTAAATAGTTTGAGGAAGCTCCTGCATGGCTGGCCTTCTGTTGGTGTGTACCTCAGTTATTTGGACTTGATATCCCTAACTGAAGGTGTTTTTATATCAGAAATGCATGCTGCTCTTTGGCTTTTTCCTGTCCAACTTTTCTAGAGATGATTGCCTCCAATGGGATTTGTGGACCCTGTAAATTAGCCATGTAAAGCACAGAACATTCTTTATACACAGCTTGCTCTTCCCTCCCTCGTCACAACAGTGCCACTGTAATGCCTCATCAGTCGCTCTGCCCTGCTGTCCCACAGTTGTAAGGAGGAAGTTTTTGCAGGAAGTACAGTCTGGCATGGAGAGGATTGGGGGAGGGGGGCTTTGCTACTCTGTTCTTGGCATCCACCCAATCTTAGAATTAGAGGGGACCTGCCTCTGGTAGCTGAGGTCAGATGGGCAAGAAAATTCTTATTTGTCTAACATTAAAGTGCTAAGGAAGCCAAATGTGGTAGACACACCTGTGTAGTCCCAGCTGAGGCAGGCAGGGCCACAAATTTGAGACCAGCCTTGGCTTCATAGTGAGATCCTCTTGCAAAAGGGGACTGGGGGCGTGGGGGTTCTTGGCAGAGTCCATTTGGAAAATTACAATCTAGTCGGTAAGAATTGGCTGTCCCCAGTGTATGCTCTATTTATGGCAGGCCAGCTGGATTCCTATACAGAGCAAGGGAGAGTGAACCATTTTCTGAGAGCCTTAGCCTGATTGGCCCCAAAAATTCATGCCTATGTTTCTCTTGCTCTTCTGTTAGGTTTGTAGCACCAGAGTCAAATGCCCACTCACTCACTTTACAGTAAAATGTTTTCAGTGACCAATGCCAGAAGTAGGCTTCTTCTGGCCTATTTTGTTATAGGCTAGCATCCATCATTTCATATTGCATAACTGGATATAAGGAAAAGCTATTACCACTCACAGCTTTTGTAGAACCCTGATCTTTTGCCGCAGCCTTTTCTATCCCTGTCCTTCCTACTAAAAAGCCAACCTCACCAAAGCTCTGTGGAAAGGTAAAATTGCTCATCAGACCTCCAGACAGACTGAGGTGGTTGGTGTGCAGCCTGAATAGTCAGACACTTTTAAAGTACTGGGGGTCCATTCATTCTGCTGGACCTGAATGAGGTCCCCTTTCTGCACAGTCACTGTTAATGTGGTTGCTGCCTAAAAGGCATTCTTTGGGCTGGAAGCTGCAAATGTGCAAAGTTTGCTTCTTGGCTTGGTGATCACCTCCTGCTGCAGCAGCCCAGCCATACCTCTCCCAGCCATTCTGACCCAACATTTATGCCTGATGTCTCTAGGTCTCCCACCAGTGTTTTCTTGTATATTTGAAGTTGGCTGAGCCATACTATGCTCAGACCCAAACTTGCAATGAGGCCATCATTTTCTAAGTGTCTGGTAACCTCTGTGTGTGTGTGTGTGTGTTTACTCTTGGACTATCTGAACTCAAGCATCTGAAATGTCTAGAGGATTGGGTGAAAGTCAACTGAATTCAGCTGGCATTAGAAATGGAACAAATCAGATTCCTACTTGAGTCACTACAACATAGAAGACATTAACATGTTTTACTTTACCATGTGCAATTTTGTTTGGCCTATCCCTGACCAATATGGTTCTTATAGCATGTGCTTACCTAACCAGGAAGTGGGACAAAACAGCCAGGTAGGGACAGGTGGCCGCTGGGTGAGATCTATACTGAGGAATACAGAAGACTCCCACCATTGCCAGATACTGTTCTTGACTGGCTCTGTTGCAAAGCTTGCTGACTTTGAACAGCCACTCTATGCTGTGCTGAACACGTACAACACAACTTGAGAGTCCATAGAGGTTCCAGGGAGATCTATGTAGAAGTGCTTGCACGAGTTTGAATTAATTGTTCACTCACTGCTCACTTGCTTTGTGCTTTTCTTCAGATCAGCCTCCCAGAACCTCCTTTCCTTAGCCACCACCCAGGAATTGTAGCATGGTTCCTAGAAGACATGCCAGTCCAGTTTGGTGGGCATAGGCATGGGGACCACCAGGAGCTGTTGATAGTACATACCTTCCTGGTGACAAACTCAAGAACTTCCTGAACTGTGAGGCTTCCCCTGGCTTTACCACAGTCAATCTTTTTGCAACAGGTTCCTGGGTTGTCCTGAAACTATAGACCAGGCTGACCTCAAAGTCAGAGATCAGTTTTTCCTCTGCATCTGCTGCAGTTAAAAGCATACCTGGCCTCCACACTGAATCTTGACTTGGTTGCTCAGTCTTCCTTTAGTCTTTGAATAGGTAATGCTTCACAAAATTCAAACACCACAGTAGCTGTCTTCCTTACAAAAGTGTCCCATGAGCACTCAATTCATTGTTCCTCTTGTCTCCTTTCAGGGGAGGGGTGTTTGTGGTGTGTACTCGTTGAGAGACTTTATACAGAAAGCCATCTCAGAAGTGAAGGTAGCTACATGAAAAGTGAGCCAGAAGTGGAGGCTGCTTTTACATTCACATTCCTTTTGTGCAGGTTCTTTTACAGATCTGTCCCTTACCCCTAATAAAACGAGCACAGCTGATTTCCCTACCCTCTCCAGAATGACAGTCTTCCCCCTAGCACTAAACAGTCTCTTCAGGTGCCTGAACCAGTTGCCTTTCCAAGCTGCAATGGTCACTTAGTTGATGTCAGTGTTTTGGGGGGAGGAAAGCATGGCTCATCAACATAGAGGTCTCCTAAGTCCCCAGGGTTAACAGTCATTACACCTAAGTGTCTGCAAATGAGACACTATAGAAGCAAATATTTCCTACAGAATTCTCCCCTCACCCAACTTTCTCATAAACAGAAATCACTTTTTTTCTAAGCTCATTTTTGACCTCTCAATTTAAAAACTAAAGCAGCCTCCTCCAGGCAACCCCAAAAGAAAGCAGTATGTGCCTTGCTCCTCAGCATCCACCACCCAAAGTTTGCCCCACCTACCTGCTTCCCTGCAGCCTAAGTGTGCCTGTGCTCACCCCAGATGAACCTTGAAAAGTGAGACCCATCCTTCTGGTACTTGATACCTCTAGCCTGGTTAATCGATTATGAGCACTGGCTGCTCTTCCAGAGGACCCAGGTTCAGATTCCAGCATCCACATGGTGGCTCATAGCTTCAGTCTGTAACTTCAGTTCCCGGAGACGACTTCTGGCATTTGAGGGCACCAGGTACACACATATACATGCAAGCAAACACTCAATACACATAAAAATGAATCTTTAAAAAAAATGGAAGCATCACAGTATCTAAATCTTAGAGATGAGGACCTGAAATGCCAGGTAAAAGCTTTTAAATAAGATTTAACACAATTTGGGTACGCTAATTGAGCTGAACACTTGTCAGCCTGTTTTCACATTCAGCTTTAGAACCCAAATTGCTGCAAGATGCTTTTATTCTAGTTAGACCAAGCAAGTATCCACTTTCTTAGTTCCTTTGTTCATAGGGTCAGGGAGAACACACCCCTGCTGTTTCAAAGACATGATGTAGCTAAGAACATGGCCCTATCAGTGTTAAGGGACTTGTATGGATCGGAAACCTCAGCACCACCCATTCCATTCCAGTATGGCTGATGTGGAGAAGCAGGGCATCTTCCTGGTGATGGCCTGGAAATGGTGCCTCTGAGTCTCTTGACAAGTCATGGCCAGGAGAGTGGGGGAGTGGCACTTTAGTCTTGTAGTTTAGCCTTTTGGGGCTTATTTACTAGATATAACTCCCTTAAAAAAAAAGGTTTATGAAATGCTGAACCCCAGGTTTCATAGACTGTTTGTACACTAAGAATTCTGCAGCAGAATATTTTTAAACATTGGTTTTTGTAAGCTATATTTTTGTATATTTAATTGCTATTTTAAAACTTTAATGCATTTTTTGCTAATCACTTGTTTAAAAATTAAACATGCATGTAATTGACCCAAACACATGTAAATAAAGGGCAGATTTTGAAATACTTTGTATTATATACCTGTCAACTTATGGGCATGAAACTGAACGACCTCTGACCTGTCGTCCTTTGGCATGGGGTAAGGTGGGGCACACTGATGGGAAAAAACCCATCAGGCCTCAGTGACAGCAAGAAGCCAGACCACATCATCCATTCCTACTGTTACCACCAGCACTTGAGGTAGCTTGGTATATAGCTTTATCCTTTGATAGTCTGCAACACTACGAAAACTTGCCCCAACCTTAAGCCTCAAAATCCTGTAAATGTGGCTGCTTTCCTCCCCTAACACAAGGCAGTAAGCTGTTCAGCTTCAGCCTATGACTTCACCAAGGTCACACATAATCCTGGACCTGCCTCTGGGCATCCTTCTAACCCTTCCATCAAGAACCCGTTTAGCATTTTGCTCTCTGATTCCCAGGTCCCTTTACTCCAGGTTGCTTTCCCTACAGCCTGTTCCTTCACTGCCCATCTCCACATTTTCCCATGCTGTCTCTAATTCAAATGTCCCAATGCTTTGGGTGTTCTCAAAACCAGGCACTCAGCACCTCCTGTCTCTCTCTCACCTCCTACACCAGTCACCAGAGCCCATGAAACATTTCCTCGTCATACAGGCATCCTTCTCCCATCTCACAGCCCCGGCTACTTTCTCTGTGCTTCATGGCCACAAACCCTCCTTCCTACCTGAGTGGGAGGAGTGAGGTGGAAATTTTGGCCTCCAAAGAAAGTACTTAGACAAGATGGTTCCAACAGGCACTTGGATGCAGCTCACAGGTCAGAGGTGGCCGTGAGATGCAATGTACACATTTCTGCAGATAGTGCTGGGACCAACAGGAGGACAGCTTGGAGAGACCCACAGCTGAGCTTGAGTGTGGAACTGTCAGGATAAATCAGTAGGTAGACAGCTGCCAGGGATGAGGCGCTGAAACACCCTTTGCATTTACAATGGCGTTATACTAGTGGTGTACACATATAATCCCAGCATTTCAGATGTGGAAGCAACTGCATCAGCAGTTCAAAGTGAGCCTCAGCTATACTGCAATATTCCACATTTGAGATTAGCCTGAACTACAGGAGACACTGTCTCAAAAAATAAAAAGAACTCTCCCATGGAATCACACTGGGCTGAACAGGAGGAAAGAGAAAACAGACAAGTAATGGGAGATGTAGAACTATTCACCCCCTTGCTGTGTACCATTGAGGCTTGCCCTTCTGAGCTTGTTTCTTCAATGTAAGAAGACAGAAATAACAAATACAAAACACTTAAATGATTCTGCACAGAAGAAAGGTCCAGTTCCTATCAAAAGTGACTCATGGCCTGTCCATCTCAGCAGACTTCTGAGTCATCTCCCTGTAAGTATCCCACATACTAGCATCCTGAAGAACGTAAGTTATTCAGTAAACATTGTTCCTCCTCTGCCACTCGGTATGAAAAGATTAAGCACTCTTGCTGTCGCTCTGGCACTTCCTTTTCAACCAGCTCACCACCTCCATCAGGTCCCAATCACCTACCCAAGAGAATTCTACCAGAAGTTGTGTCTCTCCACACAGTATAGAGGACAGAAAGTGCCCTTCCAAAATTCATGTTGAGCCAAGTTTGCAGAACCTTGAAATAAACCAGTTTCAGTATGCTAACACAGAGATTAAACATGAACCAGAATGTGCATAGAAGACGACCTTCAAGGGCATACTGACAAAAACCAGTTAGATTCTAACACATTTCCACAGGACAAGCAGTCACCTGCTAGCAGAAGGACAGACAGCTCTCCACTGCATATCCAGTGGGTGATATTGGAGTTCAAAGCATCTTGGAGTTAATAGTACTACACTGAAGAATAACAGGGAAAAAGAAAACAGTTCCTTACTGGTTGCTAGGTTAGACAGAATTTTAAGAATTTATCTTGATGACTTAGAAAAATACATTTGTTTCTTGCTCTGATTTGGGTAGTACACGATCATAAAACATTAAGTCTCTTCAAAAAAAAAAAAAAAACAGAAGTCCACAGATGCCCCTTTCAGGAAGTCCTCTGGGTAAAAGTCAGGGTATCTTCAACAGCTCAAGAAGTGCACCAACAGCTCCAAAATAACCCTGGAGGGGGAAAAATACACCACAAGTAAGATCACTTTTTAAAATTCTTTTTAAGTATGTGTGGGGAGTGTGCATGTGAGTTCAGGTACACAGAAACTAGAGGTGTCGGATCCCCTGGCATTGCTTAGACAGTTGTGAGCCACCCAACATGAGTGCAGAGAGCCAAATTTAGGTCCTCTGCAAGAGCACTGTGCTATCAGCTACTGAGTCCTCCCTCTAGTCCCACAAAGTCATTTTTATCTCCTGCAAGTATAATTACTATATTAAACAAAGCTAGCATGTCCCTTTAACACCTGACCCATTTGCTTCCTGAGTAGAGTGCACAGCCAGTCTGGATAAGTCCTAAGGAACTCCCTTTAAGGGAGGGGCTGGATGCTGGAAATGCCCGACAAGAAGAGGACACTATAGCAGCTGAGGGAAGAAAGGCTCAGATGTGGCAAGGATTTTATTCTGGTTAATTTGGAGGTTTTTGTTTGTTTTTTGTCAACATGACACTAGAGCAAGAGGAACCTCAACTGAAAAAAACGCCTCTAATTAGGGTAGCTTGTAGCTAAGTCTATTTGACATTTTCTTGATAAGTGATTGGTGGGGGAGGGGAGTGGTGGCGCGGTCCAGCCCACTGTGGGCAGTGCTAGTCTTGGGTTCCACAGAAAGCAGACTAAACAAGGCACGAGAAGCAAGCCAGTAAGCAGTTTTTCTCCATGGCTCCTGCCTCCAAGTTCCCACCCACTTTGAGTTCCTGCCTTGGCTTCCCTCAATGAACTGTTACCAGGGATATGTAAGCCAAATAAACCTTTCCTTCCCAAGCTGCTTTGGTTATGGTGTTTATCACAGCAATAAAACCCTAACAAAGACAGATGGTGGCTGTCCTGTCCTGGGGCAAAGGCCTGGACACTTCCAACAGCCAAAGCCTAATGGTGTCAGTGAGAAGAGACACAAGCTTAGTAACACAGGATGAAAGCCTGGAAGGAGGGGGAAGCAGGAAGGGGCCAATCCTACCTGTGCAGAAGGGGATAACCTGGTCTACACAATTCCAGACCAACCAGGCTACATAGTGAGACCCAGTTTAAAAATTAAAAATTAAAAAAAAAAAAAAGCCCTACAGTCTCCAGCAGTAAGGAGTGGGCTCAAACAGGAATCTGAAGCCAAACCAAAAAACTAAATGAGTCAAAACCCTCACCAACAGAAGGAGAATGGCAGCTAGAATCAGAAGAATCATACAAAGGACAGACTGCATCAGTCTCCAAGCAGGAGGTTGGAAATTCAAATATTGTAAGAACAAACAACTGGACTGGGCTATGGCTCAGTGGCAGACCACCAAGCCAGAAGATAAAGCCAGGGTTAAATCCCCAGGACTATCCAAAACAACAAAAATTAAAAGAGGAAACATGAAAATCCTCAAGTCCTAGTGGCAAATTCTAACAAACACACTAAATAGTATACCTAGGAAGGCAACAAACTGTAGGAGTCACTTAACCAAATGAGGGGAGATTCAGCAATGTTCAGGATTCAGGAACCCATCATACAAACCCAAGGGTACTCTCAGCTCTAAGTGATGTAGCTTCAAAATATGTAGCTCCCTGAGTCTGAGATTTATTTTATAATGAAAGAACAAAGAAATGAAAGAAGGGAGGGAAGGGGGAGGGAGAAAAGAAAGAGTACATTGAGTTCCACGGAAAACCCAGGACCTACTACTGAGTAAATAAAAAGGTCACAGTACGCTATTTAGTACTTTGGAAAGTATTAAGTAAGAAAGGGGAGGATTAGGGAGTTGGTGGCGCACGCCTTTAATCCCAGCACTCGGGAGGCAGAGGTGGATCTCTGTGAGTTCAAGGCCAGCCTGGTCTACCAATCGAGTTCCAGGATAGGCTCCAAAACAATTCAGAGAAACCCTGTCTCGAAACACCCCCCCCCAAAAAAAAAGAAGAAAGGGGAGGCTTGAGAAGAAAGCACACCATGCCTCCACAGCTACTGAACCAATTGCCTTGTCATGAGAGGGCACACAAGTATCTCAGGACCCAAGAGACTGAAATAATGGATGACAGGCATCACCATGCAAGTCCAAAACCAAGAACAAATGGCCCAAGCTAAGCAGAAGGTAAAAATGAGCAAGCAGTGAGAACAGCAAAAAAGAATCCCATAAAAGTGTGACTATAGGCTGAGCTCCCCTTATCCAGAATGCTTGGGACCAGAAGTGGTTCTGGTTTGGTTATCTTCCAGATTTTAAGGTATCTGTATAGACTTACGTGTGTACCACATCTAATAAAAAAAACACCTCAAAGTTTCAAGTTTGCTGCCCAGAGATGTTTAACCTGTATACAAGGAGGGGATATTATCCTAAGAAACTAATTTCCATTTTACATAACAAAAGGTACAACCTTTTGGTAGAAATTGTGCAAGAGATAAAATTACACTAAGATAAACATTTTTTTTTTCCTAGAAAGGGTTTTCTCTGAGTAACAACTCGCTCTGGCTGTTCTGGAATTTGTTTTGTAGACCAGGCTGGCCTTGAATTCTGAGATCTGCCTGCCTCCCAAGTGCTGGGACTAAAGGTGTGCACCACCACGGCCCAGCTAACATTTTTTATTCTAATATAAAGCAAAATAAAGTAGGTCGGTTGTCACAGAAATAAGTATAGGGAAAGATTATAAACTGTAAGAAACTTACAACAATTACTACCAATTTACTAATATAATAACCTTACAAATTAAAAATGCCTAGCACATGTCTATAATTCCTGCACTCGAAAGAGGAAGAAGGAACATCACAAGTCCAACGCCAGCCTAGTCTATACTTTGAGACTATGTCCCTAAAAACCAGCAGGTAAGATGGCTCAGCAGGTAAAGACACTTGCCACCAAGGCTATCGACCTGAGCTTGATACGCAGGACCAACATGGTGGAAAAGGAGAAGTCAATTATTTTTTATCTTAACATAGCAGGAGCCTGCCCATGAACACATGTGTATATGCATGGATATACCCATACATACACACACTAAATGTAAAATACATATTAAAAAAAAAAAAAAACACCAGGCGGTGGTGGCGCACGCCTTTAATCCCAGCACTCGGGAAGCAGAGGCAGGCGGATCTCTGTGAGTTCGAGACCAGCCTGGTCTACCGAGCGAGTTCCAGGACATGGTCCAAAAAACAATACAGAGAAACCCTGTCTCGAAAAACCAAAAAACAAAAACCAACCATGCACACCTCTAATCCCAGCACTCTGGAGGCAGAGACAGGCGGGTCTCGAGTTCAAGGCCACCCTGATTTACAAAGCAAGTTCCAGGACAGCTACAAAGAGAAACCCTGTCTCAGAAAATAAATAAATAAATAAATAAATAAATAAAGTTAAATGACTTAAGTTTAAACCTTTCGGATGAAAGGATATATGTACTTGGATTTTAATTATGAAGTAAGCAATTTTAAAAATAACTTTAAAGTACTTTTATCAAATCATGAAACACTTAAATATGCACACATTAAAGTCTCATTAATGTTTGTAGTAACATTATCTAAGCTCCATCAGCACATGAACTAAAACAACTACCCACCCACGAAGGGGAAGGAAGAGAATTGTCCCCAAACAGGGAAGAAGAGAGAAAGAGGGCGCTTCCCGATTCCTTTTCACCCTGGCTTCTAGCTGTCTGCCTGTTATGTTCTCATTAGAGTGTGGTTCCAGTGTGCAATGATTTTATTACCACTATTCACTTCTAGAACATACATATGTAAATGATACTTGACATTAAAACATTGTCATGAAAAAGCAGAACACACGGCTTGTTTAGAGAATACAGGGCAATGTTCATCAGTGTCACCTTCCTTTGGGCCTAAGGGTATAGCTGAGTAACAGAACCCTTGCCCACCTAGTACAAAGCCCTGGGGGTTGATCCAAAACACCAAAAAGAAAATAATTTTTTTTCTTTAAAACCATTTAAACTTTCAGGCATGGTGGCTCATGCCTATAATCCCAGCACTTAGAGAGACTGTAAAAGTTCAAACCAGCCTTATCTACGCAGTAAGTTCCAGGAGATCCACAGCTACTTAGGAAGGCCCTATTTCAAACAATGACAGGAAAAAAAATCTTGAAACTTAAACTAGTTGAACACCTACCTCATTAATTTAGTAAGAAATTATTTTCAGAAACAACAACAAAAGCCCAAGGCCACTGTACAGTTAGAACAGGACCACTACAGCCCTAGTCAGTCCTTTAACTGAGCCCTGGAAACAAGTCACTCACCTCGTGCTCTGAAAACAGTGCTTTCAGCTGCCCCTTGGACCAGTAATCCAGAGCATATGCCAGAAGTCGCATGGCGATTGTGTTGACTCTCAGGAAATTGCCGACAAATACAACCTGGTTAATGTTCTGAGCACAGAAAAGCTGCAATGAGTTTACACTCTTGATTTCTGTTTTCTCATAAAGCTCCACCCACCAGCATCATATAGTTTTCAGAGCAACTTGACTGGATCAAATTCAATCCAACTGGTTCACATCTAATGAGATTTGATGGTCAGACAATTCAGGGCCCACCCCAAACTAAACCCAGAGAAAGATTATGAAAAAGACTGTTAAATGTGATAAACAAGGGAAATTTAACAGTAAACGAAAAACAAAAAACAAACAAAACCCCAGCAGGACCCCTGATGATTAATTTTGTCAACCTGATTAGATTAAGACACGCTGGGGCACTAGTGAGGCACGTTAGGTTGTGAAGTCACTTGGAGAGAGGTCCAAGTGGGATGGGGCACTCTGAGGTGGAAAGCCAGCTGAGCACCACACTCACTTCTCTCCCTCTCAGCCCTGGTCCATTCACTTGTGATCAAGAGTCTCACATTCACACTGCCACAAGTGCAAGCAATTCTTACAGCCATGCTTTCTCTCCTCGAGTTCAAGTAAAACTTTAGTCCCCTAAATTGCTCTTGCCAGGAATTTGGTTACAGCAACATGAAAAGGAATACAGTGTGCCAGGAAGACAGATAAGGTGCTTGTTCTGCAAGCATGAGGGAGTACCTGAGTCAAATCCCAACACCTACTGGTTGCACATACCCATAACCACAGCAACTTCAAGGCAGGGGGATCCTGAGAGCTCATAATCTATTTCAAGGCAGTAAGATGTAGAAAGATAAAGGAAGACGTGCAGAGTCCTGCTCAGGCATCCACATACATAAGCATGGGTATGCACATCTGCACAATCATATGTATAAGCAGGAATGGGGAAAGAATGGATGGACAGGCAGAGACACAGAGAGAGAGGACAGAGAAGAGGAGAAAAAAGAGAAAAGAAAACAGAAAAGCAGCACAGAAAATTGGTGCCAATGGGCCAGCAAAATGGCACATCAGGTAAAAAATGTTTACCTCAAAGCCTAATGGCATGGGTTCAATTCTCAGAACCCAAAAGGTAGGCCAGAACCAATTCCACAAGCTGCCCTCTAACATCTACAAGCATGCCATGACACATGGGCACCCCAGTCCCACATACACAATAATAATTACATTTTAAAAGAAACTGGTGCCAAGAAATGAGACCATTATTGTAATAACACTGACCATTGGAGGAATGCAGAGGTCTGGAACCTAAAGCACCCTAGAGATGGGAAAAATTGGAAATTTAAAAGAAAGGAGAATGAATCCAGATAAAGTGACTCTAATTGTTAAAGAGATTATTGCCATTACAGAGAAACACCAAACAACAGAAAGATACTCTGAGTTCAAGAACCCCCCACCTTCAAAAATACTCTAAAATACTGGAGATGCCAGGAACGTGGGATATTTACCAAGAAAACCTCTAGACTCCATGGGAAGTCAGTTCAAGAGAGAAGCAACCACCACCATTAGCTGGCAGAAAGCTATGAAAGCCTGCTGAAGCCTAAATCATCCCTGGGCATGGAGCTGCAAAAGCTGACATTTATCCTATTCTGTTACATAGTCTGGTATTTCCTTGCTGTGCTCCTGTTCCTCCCTTATGGACGGAAATGTTTATTCTGCCTCATTATACTGGAAGTTGTACTCCACATTTTGATTTTTACCATTTTGAGATTATGGCAAGTCTCAGAACCAACTTTTGTCACTGAGACATATTCTAACTATGTAGTCTCAGTGGGCCTGGAAATCACACTGTAGACCAGCCTGGCCTGGGAATTCAGATATCTGCCTACCTCTGCCACCTGAGTGCTGGGATGAAAGGTGTGGTTCTCCATGCCCAGCCTCAGAACCAAGCAGCCTTATTAAAGTAAATAACGCCTTATTCATGCAAACAACTCGATTAAATGCAATGAGCCACAAACAACAACAACAAAAAGACATGAGGTGGGGGGGTAAGAAGAAGACAACAACAACAGATAATGAGGAAAAAGTAAGACATTAGGGTAAGGGATGGAATGTTAGATTTAAAGTGAAGAGTTTGGATGACAAGTTGACAAGGGGTAGGCTTGAGATGGGCAGCACTAATTGTCAGCATAGCTGTGGTAGGAAGCATTAGTGAGGCACACCTTTGGCAGTGTCTATGAGGCATTTCCAGAAGATAATTAAGAAAAAACTTGCCTTGAATGTGGGCGACACCATCCTACAGACTGAAACATCAGTTGAACCAGCCTTCATCTGTTTCCTAGCATATCAAGATGTGAATGAGCACCCCCACTCTTCTGCAAGTTAACCTACCATCATGTGAGCCTTCCCTACCATGACAGACTATACCCACTATATAGACTATACAGACAGATATATATGTGAGCCAACATATCCTGCTCCTAAGTTACTTTTGTCAGGTATTTGGTCAAGGCAAGGAGAAAGTAACTAACCCAAAAGAGGGCTTGACACTAAGAAGCAAATTACACAAGGTGTGTGACAGCTAAAAATGATTTAGCTTCAGCTGTGAACTAAGGAAGCAAAATGTAGTCTACCTGAAATTCTACCCCCAAATTCAGTAAAGCTGCCCAGCATGCTAAATATGCTCAAAATGGGTATACTGCTGTGCAAAACTCCTCAGCAATCTCTACCAGGATCCATAAGCACAATCATAATGTAGGATGATCACAACAGTCACACCCAAGTCAGCCCTGTATCAAGAATAAAATAGCCAAAGAACAAGTTTATACTTCAAAATACTTACCACTGTCACCACTTCCAAGAAACCAAATGCCCAGTTCTATTTGAATAGTTTATAACAAAATAAGAATCTGATCAAATATACAGTCATGATGTAGGGGAAGAAACTTAGCAGAGTGCTTGCCATGCAAGTGTGAAGTGCTGAGTTAAATTCCCCAGAATCCACCTAAAAAAGCAGGAGCAGGAACAAGCTTATCATCCCAGCACTGGGGAGGCAGAAACAGTCAGATCCCAGGGACTCACTGGCCGGTCACGCTAGCTAATGAACAAGTTTCAACCAGTGAGACCATGTCTCAAAAACTAAGGTGAGCCAGGCATGGTGGCACACGCCTTTTAATCCCAGCACTAGGGAGGCTGAGGCAACCAGATAACTAGGAGTTTGAAGCCAGCCTGGTTTTGATAGCTAGTTAAAACAAAACAAAAAACAAGGTAGACAGAACCTGAGGAACACCCTAGGTTATCCTCTGACCTTCACACTTGCACAAGCACACACATGCATTCACACACACAAAACTCACCCACAAACCATACATCTCAGGTTAAAAACATAATGTATGCACATCAACTAAAAACTTTAAAATACTTATGCACAGCTGGGCGGTGGTGGCACACGCCTTTAATCCCAGCACTCGGGAGGCAGAGGCAGGTGGATCTCTGTGAGTTTGAGTCCAGGCTGTACCGACAGCCTCCAAAACAATACAGAGAAACCCTGTCTCATAAAACAAAACAAAAACAAAAACAAAAACAAAAACAAAAACAAAAACAAAAAACTTATGCACAGAAAAGAGAACATTCAGTAAAGGAAAAATGTTATTCAAATGCAGTACTTTTAAAAAACCTGGTATATAGTATCTTCTAAATTAAAATTTAGGCAAATCCTTTGGGCCTTGAGGTCTCCATTTAAGGTATACATCTATATTAAAGAGTAACTTTAAACCAAAGTGTGTAAATAGGGACAAGCCATAAAGCTGCACCAACTGGATGCTAGATACTCTTTCCCTAAGGGCAGCCCATTCTTGGTTCTTTCATAGCCCTGTACAATGCTGCTTGACCTGAATGCTACAAGGCAGCACTGTAAAGAAGCTGAAAGCACGAAGACAGCTCTGCTGAAGTGGAGGGAACCAAGGCGGGCCTTCCTCTGACCGCTCAGTCTTCTCTCCCAGCTTCAGTGGCTTCTTGTGAATTCCTTTCCATACCTCAAAAGCACCCAATAAACACAGCATCTAGATTCAGCATTGTTACCCATCATTCACCCCACTCCCAGCTCAACTCTGGCCTCCTTCCTGATCCCCTCCCTTTACTTTCTCCTCAAAAGAAGCATTCACCTCTAGGAAGAGAAAATATGTGTGAGAGGGGCGGGGGTTGGGGGAATCAGCGAAGATAAATCTGTTCCTCAAGTGTAAAAAGTTTGTATTTAAAGTCTATCCCATGTAACTACTATTGTAAGAAGACAGATACTGTGTAAGGCTGAGGTGGGACCCATTTAGGAAAGTCAACATGTCCCCTTAGAGTTACAGAACAATCTCATGTCCCCTTACTTCATTAAGGGCACACATTCTTGCTATGGAGCCAATGTTGTTGGTGATGGTGATCAAAGTTGCTCTGGCAAGGTCCTCCTTACTGGCAGCCTCTCTCTTCTCCTTGCTCATCATGTTTCCAAAACTGTGATGGAGGAAAAAATGTCATTGCTGAAACAAAGGCAACACAGTCCAAGAAAACTTCAGTGTTACTTTACTACGATAAAATGACTTTACAATAAGCCTTTCCATTTTTTATTACACAATGATCGAAACATCCACTGGAGTGCTCATCTTCAAAAAAAAGTCCACAAAGCACTCTAAATGAGCAGATAACTCACCCTCTCTTCTACTAAAATTCAACTCTGGTACCAGATAGTTCTCTACCCAAGCAGCATCCTGCAGATCCACTGAGAGGCAACACTGCCTGATTTGTCACCAGAGTTCCAGGAGACATCAGTAGGTCATCCCTATTGTGCAACTGTTCCATTCAGATGGTCACGATCACATCTATTATAGAAAACTTCTGCTATCAGCACAAAGTACAAAACAGCTGAGTCCCACAGTGAACTACTAAAGTTCTAGGCTGTCCTAGAAGGTAAATAAAAGACTTCAAATTTATTGACCAGCTGAAGTGCTACATTAGTAACTGGGACCCAAACCCAAGAATAAGGAAGTGTTGACCAGTGATCAAATGCTGGTCAAAACAGAATCTACAGCATTTACTCAGTTCCTATTACTCAGAAAATACTTGCACATGAATGCCTTTTCTATTATTAAAAACCAAGTCCTCCTGTGAGTTCGAGGCCAGGCTGGACCAACAGCCTCCAAAACAATACAGAGAAACCCTGTCTCATAAAAACAAAAAACAAAAATAACCAAGTCCTCTGCTATGCATGGTAACTTACACCTTAATACCAGCACTTAGGAAGCAGAGGCAAGTAAATCTCTAGGAGTCCAAGACCAGTCAGGGATACAAAGTAAGACCTTATCTCAAAAACAAAACAAAACAACACATGTGCTGTAACACAAACACAAAAATTGCATCCCCAGGGGGGGCTAGAAAACTAGTTCACTGGCTGCCCTTCCAGAAGACCCCTTCAATTCCTAGAACCCAACATGTCAGCTCATAACCATCTGTAAGTTTCTAACTTCATTCCCAGGGAATCTGATGCCCTCTTCTGGACTCTATTGGCACCTGGCCTGGCCATGGTATTCAGGCAAAATATTCATACCCATAAAAGTAGTTACCTTAAAAAAACTACAGCAAACAAATAAATTAATAAATAAAATTAAGGAAGTCCCAAGCTGAGCATAATAGCACAGGCCAGCATCTCAGCACCTGAGAAATCAAGGCAGACCTGGGCTTTACAGTGAAAACCTGTCTCAAAAAGAGCCAGAGGGAGAAAAGACTTCCATTTTTGATAGAACTACAGAGAATTAAACAGGAATATACTTAACAAAATATAATGCTTTTGCAGTTGAAAGACAACCACCACCTAAATAAAAGGAAAGAAGCCCATTTTCCTGGACCAAAGACTTGACATCATTAAGTTGGTACTATTCAGGTCTACAGAAATAGCTCAGTGGTTAAGAGCACTTGCTCTTACAAAGACCCAGGTTCAATTCCAAGAACCCATACAGAGGCTCACAATGGTCTTTATTTCCAGATTGATGTCCTCTTCTGACCTTCATAGCCACCAGACACACTGGGTACACATGCATACATCCAAGGGAAACATAAAATAATAATTAAAAAAATAAAAGCTGGCAATACTCCTCAAACTGATCAATAGAGTCAACACAGTCCCTATCAAAATCCCAGCTGTCTTCTTTACAGACATTGCCAAGTTGGTCCTAAAGTTCATACAGAAAGTTAAAGAATTCAAAAACAAGTTAAAGGGCTGTGTCCTGTGTGTTTACCACTTCCCCCTTAAAAACTTAATACTGTAGTAAACAAGGGAATGTGGTACCTATCTAAAGACAAATCTACAGAGCAGAAGGAAATTAAGAATCCAGAGATAAACTGAAACATCTAGAGTCAACTGACTGTGACAAAGGCCTCCAAAGAATAGGGAAAGAGCAGTCTTCAGCAGATGGGTCAGTTAGAACAAGTAAAAACACCATGTAAGCTGTGCGGCGGTGGCACACACCTTTAATCCCAGCACTCAGGAGGTAGTGAGTTCGAGGCCACCCTGGTCTACAAGAGCTAGTTCTAGGACAGACTCCAAAGCCACTGAGAAACCCTGTCTCGAAAAAACAAACAACACCACCATGCAAAAGAAACTATATGGAGCTCTATTGTGTACCACACAGAAAAGCTAACATAGAATGGGTCATAACATAAATGTCAAAGTCCAAACTATAAAACTCTTAGATGTTAATCTTCACAATCTTAGATGGGGCAAATGGCACTAAAAGCACAAGGGATAAACACATAAATAAGGTTTCACCAAAATCACAAACTTCCGGCTGGGTTTGATAGCACTTACCTATATAATCCCAGCACTCAGAGGGCAAAGACAGAAAGAGGAACAAGCATCTTGAGGCCAGTCAGGACCACACATTGAAACCCAGTCTCAAAAAAAACCAAATGAGGCTATAGGTGTAGCCTCAATGGGTAGAGTGTTCCCCTAGCACACATGGGGCCCTATACATGATCCCTAGCACTAAATAAGATGGACACGATGGCACAGACCTGTAATCACAGTACTCAGAAGGTAAAGACAAAAAGTCAGAATAGTTGGGCAGTGGTGGCACACGCCTTTAATCCCAGCACTCAGGAGGCAGAGGTAGGTGGATCTCTGTGAGTTTGAAACCAGCCTGGTCTACAAGAGCTAGTTCCAGGACAGCCTCCAAAGCCACAGAGATACCCTGTCTGGAGGGGGAAAAAAAGGTCAGAACATAGCAAGGTCAAGGTCAATCTGAGATACAGGAGAGATACCCTGTCTGGAGGGGGAAAAAAAGGTCAGAACATAGCAAGGTCAAGGTCAATCTGAGATACAGGAGACTTGTCCAAAAAAAAAAAAGAACTGTCTGTACTGAAAACACCATCAAGGAAGTGAAAAGAAAAAAAAAAGGGGGGGGGACTATATCAATTACATATATACACACACATAAATATATATATATGTTAGATAAACACATACATAAAATAAAGAACTTTTATTTACAAGAATGTTAAGAATTCTTGAAGCTCAGCAGGATGGTAGTGGAGAGGTAGAAGCAGGCAGATCTCTGAGTTCAAGGCCAGCCTGGTCTACAATACAAAGTGAGTTCTAGGACAGCCAGGACTCAAAAAAAAATTCTTGAAGCTCAATAAATAGAAAAAATAATTTTAATTAGCAAAAGGCTTCAACAGACATATTCCTTAAATGATAAACAGAAAAACAAAAAGTCAAGCCTGGTAGCACATCCCTGTTATTCTCAACAGTCAGTTTTCCACGCAACTGACACTGGGATTGATTCCCATGGGTCTCTTTTTCTTTACACTGCAGCTAGGTCAGCTTCTAACTGCAGGCTGCCTTTGTGCCCAGAATCAATAATACGGTTTCAACTACTTGCATGAGAAAATGAAGTTGCTAAAGCAGTTTATCAAAGGAGTGAGTAGAACTCCTAAACAAAAAGACAATGATATAGAATAAGTTAATCTCTAAGATCCTGGGGCTGTAAAATGGTATGGTCACATCGGGAAGTAGTCTAGTAGTTCCTCAAAGGACTAAACATAAAGTTACCAGCCATCATATCAATTTCATTCCTAGGTAGAGATCAAGAAAATTAAAGCAGGTTAGAGTAGCACAGGCTTTTAACTTAGTAGGCAGAGGCAGATAGTTTTCAAGTATGAGACCTGTCAAGTCTACAGAGTGAGTACCAGGAGAGCTAGGGCTACATAGAGAAACCCTGAATCAAACAACCAAACAAGCAAGGAAACAAAAAGAAAAAGGAAGAAAATTAAATGTCCATACAAGGACAAGTACACAGGTCTTTATTACTATTCATGACAGTCAGAAAAAAATGGGAACATCCAATGTTTATTAATACATAAAATATGGTATAGTCACATAATAGATCACTCAACAATAAAAAGAAATAATTCAGTAAGTGACATGAAGCTGGTTATGATAGGTCATACTATATGATACCATATATATGAAATGTTCAGTAACCAAATCCAGAGACAGAAAAAAAAAAAAAAAAAGAGGAGCTGGGAAGGGTGAGGGGTGAAATGGAAAAGTAACAACTAAGGGCTACAAGGTTTCTTTCTAAAATGATAAAAAAATATTCTGAAATTGAATTATAGCAATAGCTGCAAAATTCTGCAAACACACAATTAGCCACCAAATTACACTCTTAAAAAAAAAGACAAGTGCTTGTGTATACCAGACTAGCCTCAAATTCACCATGAAGCACAAAATGATCTGGAATCCCTGATCTTCCTGCCTCCATCCCAGGGTTGAAATTATAGACATGTACCATACCTAGTTTAAACAGTGTTGGAGAATCATATGCACTAGTACAAGGGCTCCATAAACACTAGTACATACTCTACTAACTGAACTATAAAATTAAATATTTTAAGCAGATAACTTTATAAATTACACTTCAATGAAACAGTTTAAAATAAAACATATACCTAATAAGATTTTAGTTCTAAGTTTCTTACTACATACATACTCCCTTACCTTGAAGCCACAGCCCAGCCTGGCAATCCAAACCTTTCATAGTCTCCTCCATAAATGTCTCGAACTAATTTGTCCACTTTGGTGCTATCCCCACGAGATGCCATTTCAAGAGCTTCTTCAAAAGTGCTACAGCCAGTAAGAAGACAGCAGAGACCAAAGAAAGTTCCTCCTCCAAGACTATGATTAAAAGCAAACATGTAGTATTTTTAAAACACAGGAATGGGATGTTAAGACTTATGAACTCCAATCAATATTCATGTATCAGTCTACTCTTGCCCCAATTAAACCATACATGATACCAATAAGTTGGCAAGAAGACAAATACAAGTGCCTTATAAATACAAAATGTGTATGTCCATGTGAGCCAACAAAGTAGAAAAAAATATATATAGCCCATCTCCCTGTGCATGTCTCCAGCGCTGTCTACTCTTACTGCGTATAAAAGCCTCAGGTACACATAAGGCCAATATACCCAGCGTCATGTTAGCACCTACCTTCTGTCTTCAAGTGCAGAAAGACCTCTGAAGTCATTCAAGCACCCGTATCCCTAACCCACCAAACTCCTCTATTGAAACCTCTCTAATGCTCTCATTTGTTGGCTAATGGGTATTATTATACTCATTAGGTAAAGAGTTATTCAAACCATCGGTTCCTTTTTTTCCTCAAATAACCCTTGAACCTTAATCAAAACATTCATTTTCTTTCATCTAATCCTCCCTTTTCAAATCATTTTTCTAGTTATGTATCTCAATTTCTAGATCCATACTGTCTTAGTTCATTTTCTATTCCTGTGATAAGACACCATGACCAAGACGACCTATATGAAGAAAAGCGTTTATTTGGGACATACAGTTTCAGTCCATGACAGTTATGACAGAAAGCACAAGAGTAGGCAAGCATGGCACTGGAGCAACAGCTGAGATCTCACTCACATCTTGAGACACAACCATGAGGCAGAGAGAGCTAACTGGGAATAGCATGGGTTTTTGGAACCTCAAAGCCTACCCCCAGTTGACAAATCTCCTCCAATGAGGCCACCCTTCTTAATCCTCCTCAAACACTTCCATCAACTGAAGACCAAGCATTCGAATATTTGACCCTATGGGAAGGCATTCTCATCCAAACCACCACATTCCACCCTGGCCCCCATAGGCTTGTAGCCATATCATAATGCAAAATGCATTTGGTCCACCTCCAAAAGTTCCCATAGAATTTCAGTCTCAACACTGTTTCAAAGTCCATCCATGTCTCTTCCAAGACTCAACACAATCTGGTAACAGTTACCCCATGTAAAAGCAAAAAGTAGATAACATACTCCCAACACACAATGCAAAGAATATACATTACCATCCCAGACAGAGGAAAGGTGGCAAAGTGAGGAACTACTGCACCAAACCAAGACTGAAAAACAGCAGGGCAAACTCCAAATCTACTATTTCTGTCTGATGGCAAAGGACTTTGATGGCTTTTCCCTTCCAGCTTTGCCAACTATTACACACTTCTCTCTTTTGGGCTGGTTCCATAGCCTGTCTGTGACTCTCCTTAGTAGGTATCCCAAGGCTCTGGTGTCTCCAATAATTTGAGATCTCTAAATCTAGGCTTCACCTTCACAGCTATATACATGGCCACTCAGGGCCTCCATGCAGGGATTTCCCTACCATATGCCTGGCCTCAAGTGGTTTTCCTTAACCATGAAGACTCCACAACCACTCTACTATGTATGTATCCTTCTTGATGCTAATATCATGTAGATAATTGCCAAGTTGAGCTGTCTGCTTGGGAAGAGATCTGGCCCCTTCCTGGATTACATTTGCAGCAGCTTTCCTTTGGTGGTGGTTTTTGTTTTGAGCAGAAAATGTCTCAGGCATTTCCTTCTTACAAGTTGAAGGCTTAGCTAGGTCATTTCTTGTTCTGAGGGTACCCACCCCTTTTATTTTCCATCAGGCCTCACCTTATCTTTCAGCACAGGCCTTGGTTCTGATATTAAATCTCCTAATGCTATTTTTCTACTTCAAATTGTGCATTTTGTATTTCTGTTTCACTTATTCTTTTGCACTGAAGATCTTCATAACAGTTATTGCTAATAATCACATGATTTGAAATCTTCTCAGCCAAGAAAATTATCATTTTTCAATTTTGCCTCGGCAATTTCTTTTAGGACAAGAGCAGAAAGTAACCACATTCATGCCAGAATATCACAAGAATGATCTCTAATGCAGTTGCTAATATTGTTCTCCTCTGAAACACTTTGTTTGTTTGAAACAGTCTCTATATCTGTATTTTTTCAACCTATGGGTTGCAACCCCTTTAAGGGTCAAATGATCCTTTAACAAGGGTCATCTGAGACCATCAGAAAACAGATATTACAATTCCTAACAGTAGCAAAATTAGCAAAGAAAACAATTTTATGCTTGGGGGTCACTACATGAGGGACTGTACTAAAGGGTCACACAGCATTAGTAAGGTTGAGAACCAGTTATATAGCCCCAACTGCCTGGAATTCTTTAAGACCAGTCTGGTATTGAACTCGGAGATCCTCCTGCTACTGCCTTCTGAGTGCTGGGATTAATGGCATGCACCACACCATACCTGACACCATCTGAAACCTCTTGAGCTGGGCATCCATAGTCACCATTGCTCTTACTTAGTACTGCTGTCTTCCAAGTTCCTACTAAAATGGCCCTAATCCAAAGCCCCAAAGTCCACATACCATGAGCCTGTCACACTAATAGCCCATATTCCCTGGTACCAACTTCTGTTTTAGTTACTTTTCTATTGTTGTGGTAAGACACTATGACCAAGGCAACTTTTGGAAGTGTTTATCCCATCATGGTGGGGAGCATGACAATGGGTAGGCAGGCATGACACTGGAGCAATAGCTGATAGCTCACATCTTGAGACAGAGAAAGCTGGGGAAAGGCTGGGGCTTTTGAAATCTTAAAAGCCCACCCCCAGTAACACATCTCCAACTTTCTAATCCTTCCCAAACATTTCCATCAACTGGGGATCAAGTATTATAAAACATATGAGGCTATGGTGACCATTCTTAGTCAAACTATCACACAACACACCATCCCATTGAATACCCCTTACCCTATGGCCATCCCCTGGTAACCTTATACCATTTTCTGGTATAAATGCATGTATGCACATGCTAAAGCATGTATGGATGTATATGCACAAAGTCTACAGGTTTCAAAGGAAGAACTTTTTCTTGCCTTCTCTTCCAAAGTTCTACCTGGTTAACTTCAACTATTATATATATGCCCACTATAAACTATGGATGCAACAGGTCTGTTAAGGTAACACCTAATGAAATAATGATAATAAAGAAAAAGCCAGGTGGTGGTGGCGCATGCCTTTAATCTCAGCACTCAGAGGCAGGTGGATCTCTGTGAGTTTGAGACCAGCCTGGTCTACAAAAAGTTAGTTCCAGGACAGGCTCCAAAGCTACACAGGGAAACCCTGTCTGGGAGGAGAGGGGGGAAATCCTAAGCAAAAGAGATTAAAAAGCTCATGATGATATCAGAATGTTTGAAGAAAACTAGCATGTACTTACATAGTTTTAAAAAATGTAAATCTTTCACTTTTTTGTTTTTGTTTTTCGAGACAGGGTTTCTCTGTATTCCTGTAGACCAGGCTGGCTTCAAACTCACAGAGATCTGTCTGCCTCTGCCTCTCGAGTGCTGGGATTATAGGCGTGGGCCACCAATACCTGGCTCTTTCACAACATTTTAATGGGTGCTATATGTATATGTGGTGATACATTATTTATGATTTAATATAGCTTCCCTGAGGGTTCTGAATGTAAATCCAGCCACAAACCAGAGGCCAGGCACATAACTTTAATCCCAGGACTCGGGAAACAAGCTGTGAGGTCAAGGCCATCCAGGGTTACATTAGAGTGAAATAGCCTCAAAGAGAAACAGCTCACACAAAGATCTCAGCACTTGGGATCTCACACCTTTGATCCCAGCTCTAGAGGTATGTAAGATAGGAGCCAGGCATTCAGTATTCAGTCTCAGAGATTTATTCTCCAGACATACTGAGGCAGGACAGTCCTTTCAGCCTGAGGTATAGGTAAAGAGCTAGTGTCTTCTTTGATCTTTAGCTTGATCCCTGTATCCGTCTCTGGGCTTTTATTATTCATGCTACAGGTATGGTTCAGTGATACCTGAGAGCTCAGTAACCCTAAATCAAACTATAAACAATGACTTATATGGCAGATTTACCTGGTGCCTGTGACCCTCTTATAATTATCTTTGGAATACACTGCTAAGATGCTAACCCCTGAGCCAATGTTCACCAGAAGCAGAGGGTATGGATTTTTCAAATCAAATGGTAACTTCTGACATTTTTCAGAATCAGCAGGATTTTCAAAATAATAGCACTGTGACCGTCCATTGAATCCAACTGAGTCAATGTACAAAATTCCTTTTATTAAGCAATCCAGTTCATCCAGTTTGCGAAGTTGAAGATCACCTATCTGTAATAAAATAAGAATGTAATCAGATTTTCTATTAAGTCAACAATTTTTTAAATATGGTTTTCTGAAACAAAGTCTCACTGTAACCTTAGCTGGCCTAAATCCTCTGGCACCTGATTGCTAAGTGCTAGGACTACTACGGGTATGAGCCACCACATCTGGCAACAAACAGAAAAATTTTTAATTCCATTTAAAAAGACATCTATCTCTACACTTAAGGAACCATAAAAGTGTACCCATGGATATTTGCTTTCTCTGGGGAAAGGAAAAGGAGGATGGACTGCCAAGACACACTCTGGTTCTCAAGACCCAAAGAGTCTCCAACCAAGCCAATGCAACTGTGGGGCTGTGTGCAGAGACAGTGAAGCAGAGATGTAACTGAGGCCATGGCTTATCAGCATACCTAATAACAATAGCAGGATCCATAAAGACTGACACGCTGAGATGGAAAGATAGCTCAGTAGGTAAAGTTTTGCCACCCAAGCATGTAGGCCATTTCCATTTCCATACACTCAGAAAAAGTTGGGTGTGGTAGCACACACCTATAATCTCTGGGCTGGGAAGGGGAAATTCCTGGGGCTCTCTGGCCAGATGGCCTAGTCTAATCAAGTAGCCCATATAGACAGCTCCTTAAGATTAACACCAAGGTTGACCTGGAGGTCAATATCAAGTCTTTCTCAATAACTGTCTACCTCATCTTTGAGTCAAGGTCTCTTACTGAAGTTGCTAGCACTTGCTGACTACCTAGACTGGCTGGCCAGCCATCTCTATTCCTAGCACTAAGACCACAGGCACACACTCAGCTTTCTAATATGGGTGCTAAGGATTCAAACACAGGTCCCCATGCTTGAGTAGTAGGCACTTTGACCACAGGGTCACTTTCCCAACACCCTTCATTCCATGTAGTTTTCATCATGAGAACATGAAAAGGAGAAACCCTAATAGCCTACGAACCTGCTCTTAAAATACAAAGTCCAATTTGCACTCTTCCTTTGGATTCTCACACAACTGAGGCTCTATTAATGGCCTTCAGTTTTCAAATTTTTATTGCAATGGGGCCTCTACAGCATCTACCTAGCTATCTGGCCCACTGGGAGACTCTCACAAAAGAGTACTTGCTATTCTACTCCTTACCTGAATTTACAGATGGGGTGGGGGAGGCACTGAAAACTGAAAACCCACAAACAATGTATTAACAGACCACTAGTTTAAACTTAAAGTCATTAGACAACATCTAAAATCTATAGCACCTGCCGACCTGATGTTTCCACCAATGCAATTGGAAAAGCACTGACTTAGGACTTTTTATTCTGCAACATCTTCCACAAAAAAATGTCATTCATGTTGTTCAGGGCAGCCCAAATTTGTGTTGCCAAACCTGGCTGCTTGTATTTGGTTCAGAATAAACGTAATTCCTGTCAAGCAAGAGCTATACTTTGTGTTGACAGAGTCAAAAAGGGAAAACCTCCCTCAGTCAAATACTCTCATTTGGTAGCATGAAAAGAGGTTACTGAAGCTGGGCAGTGGTGGCGCATGCCTTTAATCCTAGCACTCAGGAGGCACAGACAGGCAGATCTCTGTGTTTGAGATCAGTCTGATCTACAGAGCAAGTTCCAGGACAGGTTCTAAAACTACAGAGAAATCCTGTCTCAAAAATCAGTGAAAGAAATACACCCTGGCCCTAAGGTTAGAGCCAAAAGGTAAAAATGATCAGTGAAAGAAACACACTTTGTCCCTGAAACCAGAGCCAAATCTGACCCTAAACCTGTGCAGAAAACTAACCAAACCCTCAGCAGGAGATCTAGCCATTCATTCTAAGCTCAAAGATTGAAATCTGATCAGTCCCCACCCTGGAAATACCTCTGGAAAAGCTCCACCCGCTAAGGATCCCTATATAAACCCTGTGTCTGTTCAGCTTGTGGCTGTCCGGCTGCCTCCTTCCACCCTGGAAGCCACTCTCCTGGATTCTTCCCTCCCAATAAACATCTTAAATGAGGCTTGGGTGAAGACCTTCTTGTGATGGAGCAGAGATGACCCTGGGCAGAGCAGAGCAGGGCTGTAACACTTTCACAAGGGAAACCTCCCCCTGGCAGAGCAGAGTTGTTATACTGGGGGGTGGGGGGAGCAGAGCCGAACTGTAACGACTTCACTGGGGAAGCCCTCTCCTGCTGGAGCAGAGCTACTACATCGGGAAGCCGGTCCCTGGAGCTGGGCTGTAAGCTGCTACGCTTACTGTGACCTGTGGTATTCCTTGGCTTCTGAGCTCCAGAATACCTTTCCATCCAAGCTGTAACACTCAGTATTCTGTGACTCCCGAATGCCAGAATCCCTGTCCCATCTGATCCACTCCAAAGCTTACGTATACCACACGTATACACCAAGATCCCCTGGAACTGGAGTTACACATGGTTGTGAGCCATCATGTGGGTACTAGGAATCATACCTACTCTAGAGGAGCAGCCAGTGCTCTTAACACTCAACCATCTCTCCAGCCCCCACATCCCCCTAAAACCACTATTAATCAGGCATGCTGGAAAGCAACTGAGGTGGCAGAAGAGAAACTATGTGGTATATACAAGATTGGAAGCAGCTTTGTAGAAGATGGTGTGTGTGTGTACCACATGTGGAGATCAGAGGACAACCTGTGACATTTACTTTTTTCCTGATTCTGCACTGGCCTGGAGTTTTCATGAATGGTGCCCATTGAGCCCCAGGGATCCACTTGTCTCTGCCTCCCAAGTTCTGAGTCAATACCCAGTTTTGTTTTGTTTTTTTGTTTTGTTTTGTTTTGTTTTTGTTGTGTCGTTTCTGAGATGGGGGGGTCTATGTATCCCTGACTGATATGGAACTTGCCATGTAGACCAGGCTAACCCCAAACTCACAAGACATCCCCCTGCCTCTGACTCCTGAGTGCTGCTGAGATTAAAGGCATGGACCACCACAGTCAACTTAATTTTTTCTAGGTCTCTGAACAAGTAGTATCATATACCCTGCTGCTAGAAATACAGGCAGTTTTGACATGGGTACTGGGAACTCAACTCAGGTCCTTGCTGAGCTACCCCTTCAGCCCACACACAGCCTTTTTTGTGGGTTCTAAAGAATGAACTCAGGTCCTCCAAACACTTTATCTCCCTAGCCCAGGACTAAATTTTTAATTTTTGTTTTTAACTCCTTAATAAGGATGTAATGATGATAGTTCTTGTAGGCTCTTACCATGCTTATCCCATATTCAAAGTTTTCATCCTAAAGAAATGGTAAAGTGCTATGCTGATACACATCAACATATTTCAACCAGGTAAGAAGCACACTACCCAACTCCTGACTGTCACTAGTTTATATATAATGTTCACTTCCCTCAAGAATATTCAAGCTCCATTAAAAATGAAAATGATTCTACCTCTTGTAATTGGCATCATTTTAAACAATCAAATTACCATAAATTGTATATAAGCTAAAAAAATGCATACTGTGAGAAAATCCTGTTCAAATTTGTATGATCCACCTCCAGTGGCACAAAAGACAGTGTGGAGACTCGAGAAGTTTTTATCTTTGCCCATTTGAATAAAAGCAGGCATGTCATGGGTGGGAAAGCGTATAAAGTGCAGATTGCCTTTGCGTCCACACAGAGTCAGGTCCTTCAGCTCCAGGTGCACGTCCCGAATCCCTGTGGATCCATAAGCCACATTGGAGGTCAGGTACTTGCGAATGCTTTTCAGACTCTCCACTTCCTCCTTTTCTTCTTCAGCAGTGATGTCTTTAGGTTCAAAATAAACCAGCTTGACTAAGGTCCCACCAATATCCAAGCCGAACCATGGAAAAACTAAATGGGAAAGAAAAAAAATGTCAAATATCTTTTTCTAAAAATAAAGGTTTATATTTACTTGACTAGCAACTTATTCCACAGGCTATGGCTTCTAAGGAATATTATTCTAAACAAAAAGATTTTGGGGAGAAGAAATATGAATAAAAAATATCAAAGTATTAGGACAAACTAACTTTTTAAATATTTTTGGTTGTGAGCTATCCCTCCAGCCCCAAACTAACTTTTCTTTTCTTTTCTTTTTTCTTTTTTGGTCTTTTGAGACAGGGTTTCTCTGTGGCTTTGGAGGCTGTCCTGGAACTAGCTCTTGTAGACCAGGCTGGTCTCGAACTCACAGAGATCCGTCTGCCTCTGCCTCCAGAGTGCTGGGATTAAAGGCATACGCCACCACTGCCCAAACTAACTTTTCTTATGCTCAAACTATACTATGAAATACTTCAAAGCTAACAAATTAAGTTTTAACTCTGAAAAACAAAGACCATGAATGAAAATCTTCACCCTTCCTCCAACTCGGAGGAAGGAGTGTTGAGACTTCACAGAGCTCTAGTACTCACACTAAAGAGCAAGCAAAGTCCAGCCCTACCTAAGACTCTCCAGGGTCAATTCCTCTCAGCACTACTCTGAGCTCGTCATCCAGCTAGTGACAGAGTACTTACACCAGGCCCTAAGTTCATTCTCTGGAAAGACAAAAAAGGAAAACACTGGCAGCTTAAAAATAAAAGGCTTCGATGGGCTTTAAGTCCAAGCTATCTGCTGCTCCAAAAATACTTTAAAGCTAAATAAATAGGGGGCAGAGAGAATATCTACTTGGTGGCTCATGAATGTATTTAACTACATTTCCAGGAGGTCTGATATCCTCTTTTGGACTCCATAGACTCTAAGCACAAGCATGGTATACAGACATACACATAGGCAAAACAACCATACATATAAAAATTTTAATTAAAAAATAATTAATAGCTTCAGGAACATAGGTAAAGATGGGCATATATGTGCCTTCCCAACCCTAAATCTAGAAATCTAGAAATGACTAATAAAACCTTAAGTTCTTTATTAACATTCTTCCCTAAAATAATTCTGGAATACACACACACACACACACACACACAACCTAGACAGTGTCTGTTCTGAACCCTCAAAAGGAATGCTAAAAAATGCTGGAAGCAGCAGTGAGGGTGGAAAAGCACACAGGGGTGCTCTACTGAAGCATCAGATGGAGTGAATATCTGCCAGGATGACACAGCGGCCATGCTGACATGGTCAGAAAATAGATTTGCAGTGACTTAATAGTCTACCACCAAGTTCTCTCTACCAAGAGTACTTCTCACCATCACAAAGGCAAACAATCTCTTCCCTGAGTGCATGGACCAGAGAGAGTCAGGAGAGGCAGAATAGCATCCACTTGGCTACTGTCACCCAAAGGGAGGACAGCCTTCACACCTGGTCATACATAAATCCCAATTCTCAACTACACTCCATCCCCGGAGACAATAAACAGAATCTACACCCATGACAGATCAACATGAATTCCCATTCAAGGATGAATCACTAAAAAGGAATGAGTACCACCAAATGATAAAGTATTTGAAGAGTTACAGGAATAACGAATAGTAAATGTCTTCAGGCACATGTGATCATCTATGAAAAATTAGAAACTAAAAACTATCAACACCACAAAAATTAATGCAAGATTTAAAAAGGTAAACAGAATGATACTTGTAAGTTTGTGTGAAACTGATAAATAGGAGCTAGAAAAGAATGCTCACTGCTCTTACAAAGGATCAGAATTTAGTTCCCAGCACTCCTATCAGGTGGCTCACAACTGCATGTAACTACAGCTCCTCTGGCATCTATACTCACATGCACATACTGACACATGAACACACATACACATAATTTCAAAGGAAAATAAATCTTAAAAAAAAAACCCAGATGAATAAAGTTTATTCCTAATCATGGGGTGAGGGTGCTTTCAACACTCACCCTAGCATAAACTATGAAACTCAAAAACAAGCTGAGTGAAAGAAGTCTTGCAGAAAAGGCTGCATACTCTAGGAAATAATCACTTCTGCAACTAGGAAAGAAAACAAACTGTATGATCATACAGGTAAAGAGAGGAAAGGCTTCAGAGATACAGTCAGCAGTGACCCAAACCTTAAACTGTACAGTAGGGGGAGTGTGAGAGTCACAGAGTCATATACTCTAAACAAAGCAAATACACTTAACAGTAAAATGGGAGTGCAGACACATAAAATAGAAAACAAAACTAAGAAATCCTCCCAAAATGCCTCTCAAGAACAAAAAAAAAAGTCAGAAATAGAGGTAGAACCAAAACCAAAAGCCTTCTCTCAATAGCTCTAGAAATTTCTCGGGACAGAGTAGAAACACTTAGGAAGACTTTTTAAAATCCTACTAAAGCCAGGTATGATGTGATATATTTAGTCCTAGCACAGGTCAATCTCTGAGTTCTAAGCCATTTAGTGACCCATAGTGAGACCTTGTCTTACAAAAACAAAGAAAAGAAGCCAGGAGGTGGTGGTGCACGCCTTTAGTCCCAGCACTTGGGAGGGAGAGGCAGTCAAGACTTCTCTGTGAGTTTTAGGCCAGCCTGATCTACAGAGTGAGTTCCAGTACAGCAGAAGCTACACAGAGAAACTCTTTCTGGAAAAATCAAAAGTAAAATAAGTGAAGAAATCTTACTAAATTTTCAAGAAGAACCAAAGTTCCTAGGAAGAGACATAAATTACACAAAGGTAAGCAGTGCTCTTCATCAGCAACATGAGTGTTAGAAGACAAAGGTACACAGGCTACAAATAAAGCAGAAAGGTTTAGAAGTAATATCTCGTCAACCAGCTTTCAAGCAGGAATCCAAAAGAAACTTTACACACAAGGACTGCCACTCAAAGAGTCTTTGAATCGTGAAGATGCACAGCAGCATAATTTTACATTTCCAAGAGCTGTAAGAAAGATTTTTATCAGCCGGGCGTTGGTGGCGCACGCCTTTAATCCCAGCACTCAGGAGGCAGAGGCAGGCGGATCTCTGTGAGTTCGAGGCCAGCCTGGTCTACAGAGCGAGTTCCAGGACAGTCTCCAAAGCTACAGAGAAACCCTGTCTCGAAAAAACCAAAAAAAAAAAAAAAAAAAAAAAAGATTTTTATCCACAAGCTACAAGCAGAGGAATAAGTGCATGCTGACTTTAAGATCTAAAATACTTACACAATTTCAACAAAGGGCATCAAGGAGAAAAGGAGTAGGAAGGGAACGTAGCACATCTGTCTCGTATGGCAAAGAAAGAGGACAAGACTGAGCAGCTGGCGACTAGAACAGAAAAGGATGCTTTAAAACAAAACAACACGCAGTGGTAGTGCACAGCTGTAATACTAGTATTCAGGAGGCAAAGGCAGGGGATTACTGCAAGTTCAAGACCAGCATGGTTATATGTAGAGTTCTGGCCTAGCTAGTAATTCATAATAACCATGTCAAAAAATAAATAAAAGCAACCCCAGAAGAAAAAGGAACATAAGATTTCTCAAATAGCTAGATACAGGCAGTAAGTCTACTGTTTTGGGGTGAGGATAGCCCAGGGAATCCAACCCCAGGCCTCACATACTGTAATGTGCATACCCCATGACTTAGATACATCCCCAGCCCAAAACGACTTTGCAGGTTTTCACCACAGAGAAATTACATTTGAGTAGATATGCTAACTAACATTAATGATTTACATATAATGGATATATAAGTAAAAACTTGACACAGATCTCTGTCAACAGGAATATTTTTACACACAGCTAAAAGCAAAATTTAAGCTGGGTATGGTGGTACAAACATCTAATTCTAGTGCTTAAGAGGCTGAAGCAAGAAGATGATTAAAAGTTCAAGAATAGGCTGGACTACACATATAAAAGTAGATGTATATAATATCATGTACAACTTCAAATGCTAGAAAAATAAAGTAGACTAGACCTAAAATAGGCAGAAGCAAGCCAGGCATGGTAATGCATGTCTGCAGTCTCAGGATCAGGAAGCTGAGCAGGAGTATTGCCACCATGACCAGGTCATCGAGGGCTACAAAGCACAACTGTCAGAAAAAAACCAAAAGCTGGGAAGATGACTCAGTGGTTGTCAGTGGTTCTCTGTTGCACAAGAGAACCTGAATTAGTATCCTAGCACTCACGTAAAAACCTGGTTGTTGCTGCATGAATGTCTATTCCCCCATCCCTGTGAAGGGTGGAAACAGGAGGATGCTGAGGCTTGCTGGCCTCCAGCCCAGGTCCAAGTGAGAGACTGTTTCAAAAGAAAAAAAGCAGCAAATGTAGAACAACACACCCAGTGTCTTCCTCTGGCCTCCACATTGTTTTTTTGTTTGTTTGTTTGCTTTTTGAGACAGGGTTTCTCTGTGGCTTTGAAAGCTGTCCTGGAACTAGCTTTTGTAGACCAGGCTGGTCTCGAACACACAGAGATCAGCCTGCCTCTGCCTCCCAAGTGCTGGGATTAAAGGCGTGCACCAACATCGCCCGGCTGGTCTCCACACTTGTAAAGGCATGTACACCGACCTACACAGACACCAAAAGATATAAATGAAAACAGAAAAATACTGTGCATAAAGCTACAGTACGACTAAAGAATAAGTAAAATCGTCTTGAAGTCATTAAAACAGAATAAAGAGACTTTTGAGTGTCTGATTATGCAAGTCCACTCCCATTCTTGAGACTGTCTCTCTCTCTTTTTTTTTTTTTTCTTTTTTGGTTTTTCGAGACAGGGTTTCTCTGTGTAGCTTTGGAGCCTGTACTGGAACTCACTCTGTAGTCCAGGCTGGCCTCGAACTCACAGAGATCCGCCTGCCTCTGCCTCCCGAGTGCTGGGATTAAAGGCGTGCGCCACCAACGCCCGGCTGAGACTGTCTCTCTTAGACTGTCTATTTCTACTGACTTAAAATAACAACAGCACTCAAGAAGCAGAGGCAGGTAGATAGATCTCTGAGTTCGAGGCCAGTTTAT